CATTCCCGAATCCCAACCCATTTTCGGATGTGTGTGGTATGGTTCAAGGTCATTATACAGGTGAAGAGACTATCAATCAGTGACTCGGTGCGCTCGGCACTTGATCCGTTTCTTGTTTCTTGTTTCTTGTCCAGTTCAACTGTCTTTCTAGTACAGCCCTACATATGTACCACAATAGAACTATTCAACGCAGAAGTGGCTGAGCAGGTGTACCTTCCCTCTTTTCTAATTGCCCCTGCTGCTTCCAGTCTTCCAACCTCTCCCCACGACCCCCCACGAAAGGTAAGTACTCTCGACCTCTTGACTTCGACTTCAACCCTTCAACCCATTCCCAACCCATTTTCGGGTCTGTCCGCGTTCAAGTCTGTCGTCATGCTGCTGAAGAGATACTCGTAGCAGAGAATGCTTGGGTGGGAAGTCATTGGCGGAGGGTCAAAGTGGACACAATTCATGTCCCTTACTTATCATCAACTAGTCACATAAGATGGGACGGTCATCATTTCATTGTTCGTGGTATCTACCAGTAAGTAAGTACTATTTCCACAAGTCTTGGGACCTCAATCTTAGGTAACATCAAAGCTCCCTATGACTTCCACTCGCATCTTGTTTCTCCATTACCACCTCCATCATTAGGAAATGCCCACCAATACCAACCCTCTTCCCGGTAACGAGCTTGCCTCGTTTTTGTGTGAAAGAGAAAGGAAGGAATCTAATGGGCACTCCAACCAACCAATCTAATACACAATATGCGAGTTCACTGCTATCAAATTTATTTAATAGCAAGGGGTAGCGTTGGCAAAGGTTCCGCAAAGCTTTGAGAGCTAAGTACGAAGCTTTGATCAATCAATTTGAATCGTTCTAAGGATTCGATATATTCCTTTGATCAAGGTAGATTTAGCACGATTTGTGCTTTGGTTTGTATCGATTTGGGTATATCAAGAATTGGGGGTTTGAATCAAAGTAAATTAAAACCGAAACACACAGACCCCTACAGAGGGCTAGAACTATGTGCTGGCACAACCACACAGCGTGATTTGCCCTTAAGACCAACAACTGATCCTAAGTTTGGAGAATACCCAACAACTGGATAGACTTCTCGCAGTCACAAGGAGCAGAACACGATGTTCCTATACTCACAAGTGCCGGGCCCGAATGGCTGCTAGCGAAGAGGTTTCAGTCTGGCGGGAGTGTGTCTTTCCTTTTTACGGATTAGCACTGCAACGTCGTCCCAAAATCACTTGTATTCCAGATACATCGGATCGCTATTTATACATACAGAATATAGAGTCGCATAGTACAATTAATTTAATACAATCAACGTTCGGAACCGCAAGGAAACTTCTACACTCAGTCAGATACCATTTAATTTGAATCTACATGTCCTTATTTGGTCCATATTGGTTCCAAGATTCTAGTATACCTCCAAACATAGGCAGGTACTTCAATATTCATTTAATTTAATTGTTTTTTGGAGGATGACTCGAATGGTGTCCAACTGTCATTGCTGTTCAACACTTACTTCGATCGTTTGTCACCTCGTCCGGAGGCAAATCAGCTCTCCTCGATTCTAATCCTATCAATCTGATTCATCTGGATTAAACTAATTGCTTCTCTCTTTTAATAGACACCCATTGTGCCTATACTCAATCAAGGGAGTTACGCATAGTATTCATTTAATTGCATTCTTCAATATTTTCTACGTCAGGACTCTTTGACATTCATTTGATATGTCTTCGGAGCCTCGCAGTCTTTCGATCGTTCTTCTAGTCATTTTACTCAACCATGCAACTTGATTGGTCTATTAGACTAAATCGCAGTCTTTTAGATTAATGCATGATCTCGTTCTAGAAGGAGTATTTGATAATTCCTGAGTTCTAGAAAGTCATTTCGAGTCAATCCTCGGTTCATGGTCACTTGAGTAAGTTCTTCCAAACTCCTGCCAGTGTAAGGTCCAATAAGAATACCCTTGGTATGTCATACGTGAATGGTCATCCTTTGGATGTAGTCCGAGTCTGGTATAATCCTGCTTGACAAACAGGTAAACTGCTATCTGTAGGTAGTATCGGGGATGGGTAAACTAACCAACTTGTAGTAGTATAGGTATATGGTCCCTTCAACTTATTAGACTGATTCAGTATTGACTTTGACTGTCAATCTGGGTCTCAATTACAGTCCTCTCGATACAAATCTATACGTGAAAATGTCACAATTCACAGCATAGACGTCTAGCCAAAATTTAGGCGTGTCACCGGGACCTCCTTCCCAGGCTCACACTCCATTGGGAGCTCTCACGTTTGAAGCTCACATCATCTACTAGCTATAACAATCCTATGTTGACGTTCTTAGCTACTACAATTCGTACTATGCAACCCTCCTATGTCTCCTAACTTCTGGTTATATCCATCTTCTCTGGATTATTGTCCTAGGGACCTCCCTGGACCTTCTAGGAACCCCTTCAAGGGTCACATCTTGCAATCAGTACTAGTACTAGGTCATTCCTGTCCTCATTTGCGGTTCCTGTAGCTCCCTTCGAGCTCCAGCTTGCTCCTAGCATGCTACAATGTAAACCATTCATACCAAACCCACCCCTAAGACCAATTCTGACCCAGGTCTTACATAATAGTTGAGAATGATAAGCCTTGTATTTTTCCTTGATTATGCTGTCAAGGAAGTACTCCATACATTTGAAGAACTTGGGCATTTCCCTTTCTGTAAACAGTATTATGAGTAGGTACTATACAGTTGTAGTTATATCATGCCAGCAGTGTCTTCAAGTCCCTCAGTTTCTTTACAGTCAACTGAGGTGAGCTAGATATAATAAAACTCACTGTGAGCTCATAGTACTAACATAGCAGAGACTCTCACTTAACATATGCAGATGCATACCAATCCATGGTGGTGATGCTGTACTCTATAACAGGACTCATAAATTATGCATAAAAATAGATAATAAAGCCACTCAGAGGAACAGGATATGACATTTTGAAGACTAATGTCTGATAGTAATAGTGCAATGACAAAGCTAAAAATATCAGAACAGTAAGCTTTATCAATAAGATGCAACCAGTTCCTCTCAGAGTATAATCACACTGAGGACCTGGCCAACAATTATTAATGCAGTCATTAATATTCAAATATACAACTGAAGAGTCAAAAATTGCAATCCAATCTTGAGTGGAGCCGGAACGCATCCGGAACGCACCTGAACGCATGGAATGCAGGTGAACGCCAAGATTAAAAATGAACGCATATAAGGTGAACGCACCTGAACGCATATGGACGCAACATCAATTTATCAAATTTGCATTCATAAATTGATTGCGTTCCGAGTTTACATAAATATTGTTAAATTTCGATATTTTGACTGAAATGTTACTATTGTTCCACTAATCTACTACATATTGTACAGTTTATGCACACATTATGTATAGTACAATCGAAGTAATCAATAATTGAACACTAAAATCATATTATTGTACATAATATAATAAATATATGAACGCATATGAACGCATATGAACGCACGAAACGCGAACGTGAACGCAGAACGCACCGACGGAACGCAAAATTCTACCTACCGCACCAATGTTATACTCTGACAATCTAAGAAGGAAAGACACTCACGGCAGCAACCTTCTTGAAAGCCAGGGGGGTTTCAACTAAGTTTCCTTGCCAAAAGAACAGACGTCTCAATACTGCTGTCTGAGTGCTAAGACTTGAAGTTGCATTAAGTAGGTCGTCGTATATAAGGCGGTAACTCCCTGTGGCAATGCACCTAACTCGAGCTTATGGAACGCTCCGGTGGAAAAACAAGTTCGGCCAAAGTAAAATGGACCATGTTCTGGAGCTGTGATTGCAGTAGTAACACCAGACCTGTAGGCCATGCTGAAAGGCGTGTGACTTTGAGTAATAAGTCTGGAGTTGAACCACGTTCACAAGTACATCCCTGGTGCCATACTGCAGGCCATCCGCAGCTCATATGAGCCGGCCATCACCTAGCATTGAGGGGGCGCTAGACGACAAAGGGTCAAAGATTAGACCATCTGTAGTCGACGGTTCAAGGGTGATATGCTGCAGTCCTATCGGGAACCCATAGAATACAAGTGCGGGGATGATCGAGCCACCTTGTAGATCGAGTACAAGTTTCATTGATATCCCAGCATAGTGGCTTCCCGTCTCGAGCAACGAGAACACCTGAAGCGTCCCCGCTATCGGCAACAAAATCTTGTATTATACTCGAAGTAGATCTAATAAAAATGTCTTGGACGTTAACGAAGATGACAAATTCTGAAAATGATCTTGTTGGGGCTAAAGGCAGCAAACCATCGCATTCAACCGCTTTAGGCTCTTCCTCGTCGTAGTTTGGAATTTTGGGAGCGTCTTGCGATTCGTCCGCCGATCTGCAAAACCTGTATTTTCGGCTAAGGGTCCGAAAGCAATTGGGAGCACTTCCCAGCAGTGAAAGCACTCAGAGCATATTGCTTTCAGTGCTTTCAGCACTGGGATCTGCTGGGATCTGCTCTCAGACCTTAGCCGAATATCCAGGTTTTGCAGATGCGGTTTCTTTATCACTACAAGATCCTCCAGCTGCGCAACCCCATCGATGAAAACTTATCTGCAAAACATGGATATTCGGCTAAGGGCTGAGAGCAGATCCCAGCAGATCCCAGTACCGAAAGCACTGAGAGCAGGCTGCTCTGAGTGCTTTCACTGCTGGGAAATGCTTTCAACTGCTTTCGGACCCTTAGCCGAATATCCAGGTTTTGCAGATTTGAACTTGTACGGGAGTTGCGCACAAGGCCAATGGATGGCTATCTCACACAACCAGATCTGATAGTATGGGACGGGAATGAGTAGCATAAGTATTCCGTATGCTTACAGCCAGGGCCATGGTATATAGGGAAATCTCATCGGCCTCCCATCATTTGCGATTTATAGTAGTCAGTGAGCGAAGGTATTCCAGGTGCTGGCCAGTACAGCGATAGAATACGTGCCTTTCTTTACATTCCTGGAATTGTGTAGCAGTGAGTCGCAGAAATCATGAAGTTGTTAAAGAAATCATCACCCATCGCTTCTGCAGTATTACTGGTTACAGAGGAAATGGCTGTATTTCTAGGCAAACCATGATAATACTCTTGCTGAGCCTCGTGTAAGAGATATCGTGAGTCGATAGTAGTATGGTCACTCTGATGGCCATATTGACGGGAAGAACAAACTCAAAGGTTTAGTTCGAGCCTTCATCACCACGTTTTCAGTGAAGATCTTTGCGGCGAGTCCCGAGAAGAGATACGACTCTCTCTTGTACCTAGGGAATACAAATTGAACGATTGCACTGCGTTGCGATAACATGCGAGCGAACCTACTGAATCCCCAGAATATGGCTGAGACGGTAGGTTTACTTATAAAAGTAAAACAGACCAAGAATTATTGAACGCATCGATGGAAAGCAAATTTGACTCAGAATTCGTTGAAAATTTCAGGTCTCCATAAACATCACACAAAGGAAAACACTGCGAGTGAAGGCCCACACTTACACGAACGGAGGCATCTATGGCAATGCGTATTGTCTTTGACACGGCCTCGAAGGACATCCACAAGTGCCTCCCATTGTGGGTCATCGGGAAAATTCCCCAGCTCTTCGAGAAGGCGAAAATGTCCTGCTTCAGCTTTTGAACAGAAATCGTCTTGTTTTTTCTTCAACTTGACTTGGCTGCTTCGTGGTAGCCGCAAATTCATACTAGTCAGATGAAAGGGAGAAAAATACTTTGCACACGATTTACGAAATGCCCAAAGTTTATCCTGAGAAATAGCTCAATGAATGTACATACCATTCTCGTTCCATCATAGACACGGCCTTTTCAAAGAGCCCAGCCCCAAGTGCTTGTCTATGCATTATACATATTCAGAACGTACTCAAATTCTCTCCTGCCAGCGAAGTAAGCCTACGCACCACATGTATGTCTGCAGTGCATATCAATAAGACGTTCAATACTATACAATAACACATGCCCACTTGATGTGCCGCCAAGGAGGAGGCGAAGACGGATCGGGAGAAGACGAAGTTAGACGAAGAATTTGATACCGTGGTTCCAGAATCATCGGTCGAATGTTTCGCTGTTTTGCCAAGTTTGATAACATATGCTTGACCGCCTGAGTAATCAACGATATCAGGTCCTGTTGAAGTAGATTATTATTGCATTCGCAGATCCTGAAAGTATGAGAGCTGTTGTCAGCCCTCCTGCAATCGACGGCTGATAATGGGTGTTGATACCATCAAGGGAGCGCAACCACGGTTGGGCAATTCCTTTGAAGGAATTACCATCGTCTGACCCGCTCAGGTTGGGAGACGGCGAATCACCCATGTGTGAATGTAGGTCCATAATCCCAGGCGTCACCCACCACCCCCGAGCAACCAAAACTACTGGTTCGTTACCGTAGGTTTGTAGCAAAGTTGAATTGATCCTTCCAACTTTCAGAATCATTCCCCTCTCCAACAAAAGATATCCCCATAGATGACTTGAGTTCCATTATAAGCTCCAGTCCAAATCGTAACATTTCGTATCAAAGTAGGCGGAGTTCCAGCAGCAAATCTGTTCGTTCGTGGAATGTAATGTCGGTAGCGGACCAGCAAGAAGCCTCAAGGAACGGCATTTGTCAAGAATGCCAGTGGTTGCATATTAGATTGAAGAAAATTGTGTAAGATGGGTGGTATGAATTTGATCAATGAAAGACAGGTCAGTATAACAAGAAAGACGATCAACCAGCGATGAAGCCTGTCAGATATTGCGTGAAAGTTAAACGCAAGGTGCTAAACTATACTAGAGCGCAAAGATATATGTTTCCATCTCATGACCAAGCTTTTTGAGGCTCATAAGAGACTTACAATCGAACATCAGCATCCCGATTTTTAAGTTTGACGAGCGATCATGATTTGGGAAAAGGACGTGGGGATACATAGATCATATATGCAGTACAACGAAGAATGGAACAGTCTATGCCTCTGTAAGTTCGCGCAGACGACGGACAGTGCTATAGAGGATGAATGGGTCAACAAAGATTTGATAATTGGGCATAGCGACGACGTACGATCTGACCGTTGCAGCTGCTGTCGTTGATACACTCCAGGCTCCTCCAGCAATAACTTTCCTGCATGACCCGCACGACCAAATTCCGACGGCTTGTCTCTTCACAGAGTCCTACAATGGATAAAATATGGTTAAAGAAAACAAAACTGGGACAAAAATACCACAACTCACCTTTCCACAGAAGGGGCAGGTGTACCTCGCGTGTTGTGAGATTTCCATTTTTTTGACCTGTTTTCGCAGAGAGGCACCATATCGCTACAATCGATATTGATTCCAGCTCCAGTCCGTCGCATGAAGTTTTGTTCACTTACAGTACCGTATTTACCGGTGATTCCGACCTTCTTGGTGCGTTTGGTCTAGCAAAACAGTGAGGTCAGCATCTTTTGGTAACATAGTGAGGTGCGGACCATAGTTTCTTGAAGATGAGGACGGCCTTGCTTGAGCTTAACAGGGCTTTGACCTAGTGAGTAGAAGTTTGAGTGTGAGAATTGATTGCATAAACTAGCTGCCCAGCACGTGCAGCTGCGTGCGTTATCATGGTTAAGTCACGCTCTGCTTTGCATACGCAACGCGCGGATGTCCGGATCCGGACATAAACAGTGTCCACGCCAGTCCCCTCGACTACAAGTCTGTGCAAGTATGTTAACTAGGCTTAATCGATGACATTTAAACGATGACAAGTCTGCATCTACAACTACTCCGTTGGGAATCCGACGCTCCTCAGGCTGAGTCATTATTTATAATATTCAGTACTTGCCAAAGGATGGGTACAAAAGGTTGCGAGGCTTTTATCAATCTTGCCAGACCCCCATCGCTATTCACCTGCACCGACACTAACGAATACTATGGGCCAACGAAGTTACCAGGAGATGGTGGAAGAACAAAAGAAGGGGATGCCTCCTGTGACTACAGGCGATCTCACTGGCAAGACCGTCATGATTACCGGCGCCAACAGTGGCATTGGATTCGAGGCTGCCAAGCACTTCGCAACCATGAATCCTACAAGATTGATTGTTGTTTGTCGGAGTGTCGAAAAAGCCCAAGACAGTATCGCCAGTGAGTATCCGGCGAGTTTCGATATCGGTTCGTGTTTTTCTAACGGATGATTGAAGAGATCGAAGCAGATACTGGATACAAGGGTGCAGAGCCAATGGCTCTTGAGCTGAGCAGCTTCCGCTCGGTCTCCGAGTTTGTTACTCAAGTCAACAAAACTTTGGATCGCCTTGACATCATCGTTGAAAATGCTGCTATATCTACTAATTACGAATATATTGCAACCGATGATGGCTGGGAATCGATGTGAGTACATACATGGACTTCAGCCTCAGGCTTTAGTTTCAACTACTAATCACCTTGGAATCCAGGCTCCAGGTTAACTCATTGGGACCTGCTCTGCACACCATACTCTTGCTTCCTATCATTTCAAACACGGCTAAGCAACATTCAGTGGTTCCGCGGATCGTAGTGGTTTCAAGCGAAACGATATTCATGGCCAACATCGGTTCAGACGCTATCGCTGCAGCGAATACTCTTCAAACGCTCTCATCAAAGGATTATTGTACCCCAGAGTAAGTTAATACTTTAAGCCAACTCGGTTCCCCTATTCATCTTCGTAAAGGATCATGCGCGCTCGTTATGTACACTCAAAGAGTAAGTCTCTTCTACTAATCCTCGAAGTACTCAAATATTTATCACATAAGACGACTCATAGTTTTGAATATCATGTTGGTAAATAAACTTGCAGCACTTCTGCCTCAAAATATCGTACCTGTTGCTCTCAACCCCGGATTCTGCGTTTCCGGCCTACGTCGGAAGTCTCGCGGAGAAGATGCAGAAAGATTCAAAAAGATGGAAGATGAATTCGCGTACACGTCGGAAGAGGGCAGTCGTCAAATCATTTACGCTGCCATTGGTGGAAAGGACGAGGAGTTGCGCGGCAAATTCACGTCGTACTCGCAAGTTCTTGAAGTTTCGGATTGGATGTTGAGTGAGGAGGGTAAGAAAGCCGAGGATAAGACTTGGGTATGTTTTTGCGTTTTGCTATGTGAACGATGGTATTGTGTAAAGCTGACATTCCACTTAGAATGAGATGCTTGAAATTTTTGGAAAGCTCGACGAAAGAGTTCCTCAGATTGTCGCTGAATACCTGAAGGTTTAGTTAATTTTCAGGAATAGAGAAAAGAGTTGTGTAACATATGCAAACTGTACGCTCGATGAATTGTACCTTGGAAATTGATCTTCTACGTATTTGTACAAGGAATCCCTCAGTTAGAATGTCGCGAACGCGTTACCACCTATGTACAAGGGGGTGTATTAAGTCTAGATGCGAGTATGAATTGGATTAGAATAGGGAGCATGGTTGCCTTTAACAAGACATTGGTGGTGGGTTGAGTATATATCCTACCAGTAATCGTCTTTCCGGCTCGGGACAATATAGTTCTTCCCTTGCTTCTTTCTCTCCTTCTCCCATCTCTCAACCCACTTAGCCATTTTCCCCCTTGAAGCTTCACTTCCTACATTCACCGTCGCGATCATCTTGCCCCATTCGAATGACATGGCGAAACACGTCAACTCAAAGAACGACGAATGCTCAGAATAAGGTACAGGATACACCTGCAACGTCGAGGAGGAGCCGCGGCCTTGACGAAGATCTGTGTAGGTAAATGTATTCCGTTGAGCCCGCGAGATGATAGTCGGAATTGAAGGAACTTGATCGGTTCCTGCTGGTTGGACGTATCTGGAAGCAGTGTGATGAGCGAATGCCGAGTGACCGGTTTAATGTGTGCTTACGTCCATCCTGTTGGCCTGAAACCTACGACCTTCTTGAAATGATTCTTGTACTTTTCACTATATTCCTTTAACTTGTCCAGGTTGACATGTCCAAGAGGGACGATATGCACTTGTGCGTCCAATGGATTTTTGGTCAGAAGAGATTCAAGCTCTGGGTCAGCTTGACAGCGAAGAATTGCAGTTTTACGAGAGTCACAGTAGATTTTGGATTGGAGAGCTCTAGCGATGGCTGGGAATAAAAATTAACATTGATCAACGAAAAGATAGGAGTGTTGCCGCTTACCTTTGACGATACGTTCCTTCCCAATTGAATATGTGCTGTGAATCCATTTTCAACGTTCGATGCGTGATAGATCAGAATTCATATTACCCTACGATCATAAGAACGTTATTGGCCTTTGCTGTGTCCTTCTGCTTTCCCTTGACATCTGCGTTGGATGTTGTGGTGACCCACGCACTCATGGTTCCTGGCTGAGCCGGATATAACAGCGAGTCGCCGTGCTGTATGCGTTTGGCGAGTTCTGCACAGGCAGAAATGACCAGAGGTTGAGGAGGGAACGTATACTATACCAAACTCAGCTGAAGGGAACCCAACGTCGAAGATAGACAGACCTTGGGATCTAAATAAGTCGTGTCTAGATAAACGTGATCTATTCTCTTGCCCTTCACCTCCGGATGTTCTATATGAGCAGGACTACGATTGGCATTCAAAGTCAGAGATACAAGGATACAAAGAAGAGAATATGATTCACACAACACATACCTTGCTCTGAAATCGCCACAATGAAGAAATCTGAATGTCCTTGTCGTACCCACATAAGGCGATTTGAACGTGCTATCCCCTGCGTCGACTGTTTGCTTGCCTTCGAAGAAGAACAAACATGAGCCAGGACAGTGATTTGCTTCTATGAGGGTGACGCGAACACCCCCAGTATTGGGTATTTCTGTAGGTACGTTCATTGGCAAAGGATGGACCCAGCTAGGGTGCACTCTGAGCATGTGTTTGATAAGGTTGGCAGTCCCCTCGGAGCAATAGATGGGTCCGCTATTCCAGGTGTTACTAAGAGCAGTGTAATGGTCGCTGTGCGCATGACTGTCAAAGAGATCAAGAAATAAGCCGTATGATGGGGATGCTTTGAGCGAACTTACGTCAAAAAATACGCGGTCACACTAGGTATTGTTCCATACTTGAACGCGTCGACAGCAATAGGCATGCCCTGCAAGACTTTGTAGAAAGGTGCCTTACGTCGTCCGCCATTAGACTTGGAGGGACGAAATCCACGGTCCTCTGCCACCGCTGCCTCCTTCCATGCATCATTCTCTTTGCGGGAGGACAAGAGGACAGAGTATAAATCACTGGTAGTACTAGAAGGCGTAGGAGAGGTCTTAATAATATCAAACGACGAAAGTGGTCGTTGAGACTTGGGTGCAGGGGTACTGCGGGATTTAGATACTTCTGCAGACGGTGTAGCAGTTGTTGATTGATCCGGCGCCACTTCCCGCACTTCATCCTCTAGTTCATCATCCAGCACAATTTGCGCGACCTCGTCGTCTCCTGTGTCCCAATCTTCGATGTCCAATACTTCTGGAAAGGTTTCTTCCGTACTTGTGCCTGCCTCATTCTCCAGAGATATGTTGTCCTTGGATGATCGCAAAAGTACGGTGGGTTTTCCAAAGGGAGCTGGAGCTATGGTCGGAGAGGGTGTTTTGCTCACTTTAGGCGACGACGAGGGATCTAGCAGGAGCGAGGTCGGTTTGCCAAATGGTACATATGACTCGCTCGATTTCGCAGAGGGAGCGACAGTTTTATGCTCAACAAATTCAATGTCTGATGAATTATCCACAGCCCTCCGTTCCCTTTTCGACTCAGTCTTCCTCTTCTTCCTGAGCATCGGTCCTGATGGATCGTCTTCGTCTGAATCAGAGTCAATGACTATAATTTCATGCTGATTTGGTAAAACATTGACTGAAGGTGTTCGACGCTTCTTCTTTTGGGCTACTGAAGTGATTGTTGATTTAGAAGAAGAGGCCCCAGGAGTAAAGAAGGTGAGAATGGTCGTAGATTGGGTAGTAAGGATTTTATTCCTTCGAGGTCCAACAGCCATTGGGATTTTCAGACAAGCTGGTTGAGACAAAGGTATGAATTGATTAGGCAAATTCAAATTCGGATTAGCCGGTGCCCGTCTCGGCATTTCCACGAATCGGGAGTCTTTCCACGAACTCATTTAACAACTTCCAGGTGACCCAGAGGTGACCGGTGACTAGTGACTACCCAGCATTCGCCGCCGAAATCAGTGAAATACACCTGTCTTCCTTCCTTCCTTCATCCGCCACGTAAAATTCGTACATGATTCATCTTTTGCGTTAACTATGCTGTCGAGTCTACTGGCAAGAAATCAGTACTCTTCACGAATTCCTTCCTTTCGTGAAGCGTTTTCCCTGCTGGCAGGTCGACCTTTGCGATGGGTCCCCCAACTACTTGGTTTTCTTGTCGTGATTTGGTATTTCGGACCCATAATTCGTGGTGGTCCTCCAGATGACTACATCTATGAATTACCACTTCCCATTCAGCATCCACATCTTCCACCTTTGTACAAGCCTCCCACGGCCTCAGCGAACGATTGGAAACTAAGGTCTCATCAAGTACGAGAGGCCTTCGTTCACTCGTACAAGGGTTACAGAGATCATGCATTCCCTGCAGATGAGCTTGCACCTATGTCCGGAAAGATTCACAACAATTTCAATGGCTGGGGAGTTACCATCTACGACGCGCTGGATACGATGTGGATCATGGGTCTTACGGAATACTTTGAGGAAGCAGTGAAGGTTATTGGAGAAGCTAGTTACACAACTAAACCGGTAAGCTTATGTGTCCCAGTCTGCTTCAGACTTTGCGTACCAAGTTACACACCTTCAGAAACAATACGTTCCCTTCTTTGAGACTATTATCCGACATCTTGGAGGCTTACTATCTGCCTATGCGCTTTCCAAAGATCCCATATTGCTTCAGCAAGCTGACAGAATGGGAGAGATGCTTCTCCCTGCATTCAACTCTGAATCAGGCTTACCTGCGTACGCCATTAGCACTCGGACGTAAGCTCTATTCCCTTTCAATTACGGCTATCCCTAATCCCTAATCCGGCCCCAGAAACGCGACACGGGGAGGATGGACCGGGAATACATTATGGGCGGAGGCGTTAAGCAATCAATTAGAATAGTAGGTATGCGACATATTTCTCTTGTCCTTGTCTGAATCCAAGTCAGCAAATACCTTGCACATATTACTGGAAAACCCGAATACTTCGAAAAGGTGTTGATCATCCTATGCTTATGACTTAGAGGGTACTGATTTTGTTTCAAGGCGGAGCGTTGCATGCAACTCATGTATGAAGCTAACGTAACAGACGGTATATTCCCTACCCAATGGAACACCAAAACTGGAGCTCCTTCAAATAGTACGACTTCCCTACTCCCGTTCTTGCATTCTATTAACCAAATCACGAAGATAAGTTCTCTGTAGGCGCTTTTGCTGACAGCGCTCACGAATATCTGCTTAAACAGTGGTTGATGACAAGTCGTTCGGAGACGAAAATCAAAGATCTATGTATGTTTACTTGCATCATAATACTTGTCCTTCGTTGAATTTTGTCTAGATCTAAACGCTTCGAAGTCTATCATTGAACATCTTCTCTATATCACCCCCAACCGTGAAATGCTCTATGTCACTGACGCCGACATGCTCAAACCTTCCCCGCCAAAACCTAACGCATCGCCCGAATCTCCTAGAACCACCACCCAAGGCGCTACCTCTACACCGTCTAGCGTTCCCTCAGGAACATTCGAACACTTATCCTGCTTCCTTCCTGGACTTCTTGCGCTTGGTGTTCAAACTCTTGATCTTCCCGAATCGGAAAAGGAAATACATTCATGGGCGGCAGAAGGCCTGGCGTACTCTTGCTGGTTGACCTACGCTGATATGAAGACAGGGCTGGGTCCGGATGTCATGTCGATGAAGATGTATCCGAAAAATGAAGATGGTCTGTGGCTTCCCAGAGTGGAGAAGTGGAAACAACAGGGAAGGTCCGGGCGACCGCCGGGGTTGAGGGAGCCAGGTGCAGCATCGGAAAAAGCTGGTAGAGATTATACGATCTATAATAGGTCGTATTTGCTGAGGCCTGAAGTTAGGCTCTTTCTTTGAACCTTGGCTTTGGTTATTATTTATTGCGTCACAGGCTCTTGAAAGCTTCTACATCATGTGGAGAACGACAGGCAACCCAGTGTGGCGTGAACGAGGCTGGTGAGTCTAGGTCCTCCTTCCGTCATTTCGGGTTCGAGAATAATTATTGCTTCGTTGTAAATCCTCTATAGGACTATTTTCCAAGCCATTGAAAAATATGCCAAGACAGAAATAGGTTATGCCAGTATCGTGGATGTAGATAAATCTTCTACAAAAGCGCCCGTTAAAGATGAGATGCCCAGTTACTTCCTGGCTGAAACGTACGTCCCTGCACCCAACCTGCAGCCCTCTTGCTTTTCTTAAAAGTACTTGCCTTCTCAGACTCAAATACCTATATCTTCTCTTTACCGATGAAGAAATTATACCCCTGGACAGGTGGGTGTTCAACACGGAGGCACATCCAATACCAATATTCGAATGGACGGAGACAGAGAAGAAACTTTTCAACATAAGCTAGCTGTTGTTTTCTCGCATTGTCAAACTTGCTATCGATGCTTTCATTCTATTCGTACATACTTCCCGCTGCTATAATCTCTAATCATTCCATCGTTGTACCACTTAGGACTACGTGACTGAAGTCTACACGTGAAGTGTCCATTAAGTGGTCCGTCACTGAGAGGAAACTTGTGGTCAAGCAAGTGTATAAGTGGTGTATAATTCACAACTTCTTCGATCTCTGAGCATCTATTGCTGAATCCCGAGTCTAGCTCCTTTCGCCAACTAATATATCATATGTGCAGAAAAGGGCTACAGCGTCGCATTGAAAAGAAGAGAAGTTAAGGAAGTAAGCGCTACCTGAGCGCTACAAAGAAAAGGACACGCTTCCTTGTTTGGCTAGCTTTGAGCTGTGAGAAATTTCATCAACTTAAAGTTGTGACTTGCGATCTCTTGCGATGTGTAGAAAATTACATGTCTTCCCCCTCACTTTCGTTCGAAATCTCTTCAAGCGAAGCCTATCCCCATGACTCCAGATTTGCGCCTCGAGTGGCAAAACTACTAATTAGAAAAGTCGCAATCGACACGCCAGGACTTTTAGCATGCACCTCGAGAGGTGTCGTTCCTCATCTCTCCCGAGATAATGTGATCAGAACAAAAGGAATACGATGGATCCACGTCCCTTTCGAGACATTGTCAGTTTAGCTTCACTCCATCTCTCACATAGATATCTTCAGTTTACCTAACAAATTATAGGTAGCCTAGAGCATAAGCCACCAGTGCCGACTCTACAACCGCAACAAGGACAATCGCCCAAGATCAACTCATTCCTCCGATTTCCGGAAGATGAATACGTGCTCTCGATGTCGCTAAGAGATCCCGCTGATCGGAGGGAAATGCCTGCTAACACAAACGTGTATGTTACTGCCAATTGCATTCGTGGAGTGAAAAAGGTACGGGCAGTATATAATATTGTCCTTTCGTTCAGCAACTTAAACTCACGGTTTTCTTGTTTAGGTCACGCCTAGTGACTGGCGATCGTATATGATTTCTTGCAATCCCGATATTATCTTTTCATTATCTGACATCCCGTTCACAACTCCTCCATACTCTCAAAAACGCCTCACGAAGAGCATAGAGAGATCGGCCCTATGGCTAGCGCATATGTTACATTCTGGACCAGACTCGACTTCGACTCCATCGAATGTTTTTGTTCAAATGGTTGGTGGGGCAAGCGCGCCAGCTCGTACTACGTTTGCAGAGTCTTTAGTGGAAGTGTTACATGGCAAAGAGGCAGATGCCATCCAACCGCGGAAGTGCCTTGACGAGGGAGTTGCAGGCTATGCGTTCGATATGGTCCCTCTTCGCCTGGCTATTGAAGGAGTTCAAGGCCTTTCACCGAATCATTCAACCATCGTATCCCTAATTCAAGCTTCCCTTCTTGTTTTACCTCCTAATAAACCCCGGTTAGTGACGTCCGCCCGCGGGCCTCATGAAATGCTTCTCTTGATTCGGGAAGTAGGTATTGATCTTTTCGACACGTATTGGGCCCAACGAGCAGCAAATATTGGAGTCGCGCTTGATTTTTCGTTCCCGGCTCATATTGTAACCGGGAAACGCGATCTAGGACACAACCTGTACGATACCAAATATACACGAGATTTCACTTCTATGATGGGGAATCATGACAAGGATTCTCCAGGGATCTGTTTGTGTGCCGCCTGTTCACCATATTCCACTCCTTCACCGGAAATTTTACGACATAGTTCCATGGATGAACCTGATAAGCACCGGGATTCGTCCGATTCCCCCAATCCTCCGTATACAAAAGCATTCCTCCATCACCTTCTACATACGCACGAGATGTCTGCACATAGCTTACTCGCGCTGCACAATATCACTGTCATGGATGCATTCTTTGCCGGAATCAGGGGCTTGATATCGCATAATAGCGCATCTATCTTTGAGGCGGAGATTCGAAGGTTCTTCGAAACATATATGGAGGACACTGATGATATGTCACGTATGGAACCCAACGTATTTGAGAGAGCTGAAAAAGCGTGGGGCGAAGTAGAGCTCCTTAGGGGCAAAGGAAGGATTGCAAGGGAAACTGAGAGGGTCAAAGCGGAGTCCGCTGTGGCTGCAAACGAGGTGTTAAAGAAGGAGATGGAGGAGAAAGGTGCTGAGGGTGCTGTCAATGTACCATTGGCTTCAAATGGGGAAGTCATGATGTAGTAGGTCTGCAAGCTACGTCGTAGGTAGGTTTAAGATATTTAGATACAGTTGGTTTGGTTTAGATTACTCGTACAGAATACAACAAACTCTCCGTGAATACGATATCGTTACGCAATACACATTGATTCCATTAGACGACTTTCTCGACACCTGGGGGAAGTTCATACCCGCCTTGCTTACGAACCTTATGAATCGAGAGTTAATGAAGTGTTGGAATGATCAAATCTAAAGCAAGTGCTTACCTCGTCGAAAATGAGCATTTCAAGCAAGCTCTTCTCGTGACTCCAGAGTGTGCTCTCCTTTTTGCCATCTCGAATACATCTAGCTACCTCATCGGCCTGGAAGTGCATCCCTCTATGTAGATATGAAATGAATCAAGACCAAGATAAAATTTTCCAAGTTCAAAATGAACACTGACCGTCCCACATATTCAAAGAACTTCTTCTCTTCCTTCGCAAGTGCACCATGTTCATCAAGGTATTGTACCACGAATGATTTGGGAACATATATCGGAGACGCGATCTTGATTGTTCCTCTCTCGTATCGGATAGTGACGCCAGGATCCAAGGCATCGGTATTGATGCTGCAGCTCAGTACTGCTTGGGCCGCGAGCTTCGATTGGCTGAAGTTGAGCGTGAACGAGGTGTTACAATCAACTCCGGTGATTGGAGTTTTGAGGATACTTCCTGTGATGGTGGGATTGGTCGCGCCATTCGCTGGGGCTTCATACAAAGCCATGATGGCCTGGGTATGTGACATCAGAATAACGACCATCTTGCGATTTCTGTCAGTAGAATGCATACCCAGACAAGCGGATAAGGACCACTAAACGGAATTCCCCGTCAGTAGGCATTCATTGACTGCACCAAAAGGACTAACAGATCCAACAAAGCACCACCTCCCAGTTTTGGATCCAAAATCCGATGGGTGTTAGGTATATCTGGCAAGCTATGAGATTATCGCTGAACTGGAAAGGGAATATCATCTTACTGTGGATATCAAAATTCCCCGAAAGATCAGCATGCACAGAGATAGGAAGCCCTAGTTGGCCACTATCTGAAATCTTCTTAAATTCCAGACTCAAGGGCTGAAACCTCGTCCACATCGCTTCCATGAAGAATATATCATTCTCCTTCGCAGCGTCAAGAAGAGATTGAAGCTCTGCGCGGTTTGATGTAACAGGCTTTTCGCATAGGACATGTTTCTTTGCCTTGATGGCGTCCAAGGAGTTTTCGTAGTGGTAAGTGTGAGGTGTAGCTAAATGGTTCGGAGTTACGACATTTAGCAAAGGATTGTCAGAATGGGGTCTGAGCATTTCTGACCTACATAAATTACGTCTACATCCTGTATATGGAGTTATATCATCTCTGGTCAGAGTTTGTAACTGAAGATGACAACTCACAGCGTCATTATAGACCTCCGCATAACTTCCAAACGCCTTGATAGTCTTATCACCTCCGAGGGAAGTATCGATGAATTGTTGTGCCTTGTCCACGGAGCGCGATCCCACAGCGACGATCTTGTGAGCTACATCGTTGACGTTTCGACTGCGAGTTGAGGTTTAGCTAGCAAGAATTTCCCCGTGGGGGATTAATATTGTTAACGCACGTCTTTGGATCGACAAGCAGATCCTAAAACGGGTTTGAGCGCTAAACAAATGTCAAAACTGGAAGCTCGCCTTGGAAAAAGCTGAAGCAATTCCTCCAGTAGAAATTATTCCCCAGCGTAACGTTACTGGTTGAACAGAACCCATAGTGCCAGTGGAAGTTAGGGAAAAGTGGCGTCGTCGTCACACGCGACTTCGGAATCGGATCACAGTTCCGTCCCAATGAGGCATCGGGGAAGTCCGGCAATTGGACCTCTTCCTCTTACTCAGATACTGTTCCATGCCAGAGCCAACGACTGGGAAACCTCTTCCACCTGGAATGATTTTGGGTCCAGACGGGAAGCCGTGTAAAGTTTGTACCTCCTTTAGGCACTGGAAGCCTGCTGTAGCGACCAGGGAACAGGCTCGAAGTAAAACAGCTGCTTCAGGTGCTGCTACTACTCTCGCAGCTTCTTCCACTTCAGCTTCATCGGAAATTCGACGAGCCGATTGTCCACCAGACTCTGAAGAGCTTGGTCGCGCTACTTGGACGTTCTTACACACCACGGCGGCGTACTACCCCGAACGACCTTCACCTGCACAACGCGCAAATATGCTAACTCTGATACGCTCTTTACCTGTACTTTATCCCTGCACACATTGTGCAGATGACTTTGGTCAAGATATCAAAGTGAACGCGCCCGATGTCAGTGGGAGGGTTGGATTAAGTAAGTGGTTGTGCGAGAGACACAACGAGGTGAACAAGAAACTAGGGAAGGCAACTTTTGATTGCGCGAAGACGGACGAAAGATGGAAGGATGGTCCAGCTGATGGAAGTTGTGATTGAGATGAGACTGACGTTAAACTTGTGAGTTCCTTCAAAGTGACCTCGAGGTGTCTATTCAACTTCTACAGTACTCTCTTATCATAAACAATATACTTTGACCTAACTGTATCATTGCGTGAATATCAAGACACCCAGCAGACAACTCAATAATCTCTTCAAGAGTCGTGCAAAAAAACCTCCAACATTCTTCATTCATTCTGGTACTAGTTCCTTGATTCACCTCGAGGTGCATATGAAGAATTTAAGTACACACTATGTACAAGAACCAGAAGGAATACATTTGCAAAACATGATGTCTCGACTGACCCAGTAACGAGTAAATAGAAAGTTGTTCAACTCGATTTTATTAGGAACACCCAAATTTCAATCTTCCACACTTCATGGGGGACTATGGCATGACTAGCCAAGTCCCTGATAAGTGTGTGGATTGCTGAGGTAGCTCGAATTGCAGAAGCTGAGAGAAAGCAGAGAATATATTGTCAACAAGCGAGGGCAAAGCCTGGTCAAAGCTACCGATACGAGTACAGAAACGGAGCCCTAAATTAGGGTTAGGACGACGGACCAGCAAAGAAAAAGAGCCCACCCAGCCAGAGTGGCCAGAGAGGGACAGGAAAATATTTAGACGGTGCATAAGCCTGAGCCTATACAAGCCGCAGACACCCTTTGAATGGACAAGGTCGCCGTGCTATGAAGGATCTCCACGGCCCACAAACCCGGGTACATGAAGGGGCTTGTGCCATCAAGGTAAGTATGAGGTGTTAGGACGCAAGAAGGTTCGCTTTTATACCACTGTGACGGCGCACGGACCATTTGAGTCACGTGTGTGTCCCTTCTCTGAAAAGCACTGTGCCAGGGAATTGAGCGCTAACTTGATCCGGATGTTTGGCAATAGAAGGGCTTCTCTGGGTCTTCTTTACCTTACTGTGCTGGCCTTCAATAGGATAGGACCTCGGCTCGTTACTTTCTCTCTCAACGAAAGTATATAAAGCTTCCAGGCCGGGAAGCACCGAACACACTAGACTACAAATGTCCCCACACAACTTGATGATGATCAATCTAGAAGCTTCTGAAGGATAACCACCATCTGACCCATGGTGGCGCTCCTTCCTTATGAGCTTTACGAGCTCATCATTGACGAACTCCGGTACTCCTTCCCTGACCTCAAAGCATGTAGTCTCGTTTGTAAAGCATGGCTGCCTCGCTGTCGATATCATCTTTATCGTGTTATACGAATAGGTCCTCGAAGGGTACATGGGATCGAAAAGGAACGAATGGCATTTTTTCTCAAAAAGTTCACAGCGTCGTTCACCCATACCTTCAACCTACCCGAAATCACCTCTTGTGTTCAAGGTCTCTCCCTTGAATCCCACATCCGCGACGTCATGTACAGCCCACCTGGTTTGATGCCTCCGCCTACTCTCCACTCATTACCAAAAGGAAAAGCTGTTATCCAGCCATCCATTTTCTCCGTCGACCTTCCGTTTCAATCGCCGCTCAGGTTCTTACGCACACACTGGAGACTCATCGATATGCTCGATAAACAGCATGATAGTATGAACGACATTCAAATGTTTGAGCGGATTTTAGACCGAAGCCACTCCCTCGAACATCTGGTCATCGAGAACTATTGGCAATTCCATGCACGTCGAGATATTCTGTGCTCCATTGCGGTACACGCTCCGAATTTGAAAACCCTCTGTCTATCAGAATTCAGATGGTTTCCTTCGTTTAACCACCTTATCCTTGAAGATATATTCGATGAGTGGTTGGTCAAATTTGTTTCGACGGGTGTAGCCCCTCTGCAGTTAGATCGTCTGTGTCTTCGGAATTTCTCGTCAAAGGGTACCAACTTGATTCAATTGGTTATCCTGCCTTCTCCATGTTTGAACCTGTGCTCGTTGCGTTATTTAGCCATGTCGGCGAAGGACCTATGTGCAGCTCTCGGTGGACAGTTCCCTGAGCTCGGAAAAGAGCTTGTACATCTTACAGTGTTGAATCTCAATACTTCGAGTGCGTATACTCGACTTTATGTTGCATGAATCAATACTAATATTCCCGTCTTGTGGCAGGCTTCCGACTTCTCTCCAAAACGTTTCCGAAACTCTCAGAGTTGCAACTCTTCGTAAAAGACGAATACCATTTGTTGCGTTTTGTCCAGGACCTCACATTTCATTGGTCCCATGTGTCGACCTCACTGGATCTTCACATTAACTTCGAAATTGAACGAGATCCCGAGCCAAACCTTGCGGAATTATCGGAAGCATTCAGTATTTCTACTGTCGATTCAGCGCTTTATACATTCATAAAGAATCGGATGTGTAATACGTCTGAGATGTCCGAAAGTGCTCAGCGCACTTTCAGACCATTGATCAGTATGGACTTCATACAAGCAGATGGGTTGGAGATGCAGCGGAAGTGCATGCGACGGGCGTTCCCGCAGAGTTTCGCGACAGGATGCCTTCATTGGAGGGATAGGAGATCCCTCGAATGGTGGTTTGAGTAAACGGTTACAAGGATGTCTGCCTATTCTGCATTCAAGTGACCGCGAGGTCCACGGAGGAGACCAATGGCATGCTTAACAATGCACCGGAGCTCAACCTTTATACTACCACGAATCAGCGTTGTACAAAATGAATCTATCGGTATATGCAATTCGTAGACTTTGACCTATACAGATATCGTGCGGGCAGTGATAAATATCTTCAGACTTCAGTCGGGATTCGGCCCCACAATCACCGACCCGCGCGTGCGCACGGGCCATGTGCTTCGAGATTTCATTATACCATTCCCCATTAAGAAGGTCCAACCTTGGTTGAATTTGAACGTCCTCGAACTGGATTTCTCATCTTTTCAGAGGTTGCTTTATGCCAACTCTTTATCAGATATTGGGAATTCGCCCCTCGGCTACTGCTGAAGAAGGTGAGTAGGGTACATAATTAATACGTATATTCGCCGTTCCGCCCTCGGTTCACTGACAGAAGTCACCTTCTCACGTGTGATTCGCGTCTCTCTTGCGCTTTAGTCCGGCGAGCATACAAACAAAGAGCCCTTGAAACTCATCCTGACAAACTTGAACCTGGGGCATCTATCAAAGAGAAGGAGCGCGCGGAACGAAGCTTTCGTGAGGTGCGGAGAACATTGAAGAAATTGAATCATGTATAATGAAATTGTATTTGCAGGTGCACGAAGCCTTTGTCGTCCTAGGAGACGTCGAGAAGCGCAAGGTATGAAGCCCTGGGATATCTTCTCGTGACAGAACTTGACCTTCCGAATCAGGCGTACGACATCCGAACACATATCCCAAGTTCACTTTCGTATCAGAAAGCCTCGGACGAAGCAAAACGAAAGATGGAGGATAGAGCTGAGTGGCAACGCCAGCAACAGGAGCGGCGCAAAGCTAGTATGGCCGAGATACGAGAGCAAAATAGAATCGCAATGCAGAAGGCGCGGGAGCGCAGATTTAAGGCAGCAGAACAGGCGACGTTGGTGAAGAATATGGTTGATGAATTGTTACAGTTGACACCAGAGTGGGAACAAAGAAGACTTCATGTACAACAGGTGAACTGAACGAGACTATTCTTTGGAATGCCTTGACTTAATCTCCATGCAGCGCAGGGCCAGTCGATTGAATACCGGAAATCCACGATGGAGTACTGTTCAATAACGCTTCACGGGCTACCTGCGGTATTTATTACCTAGTTTAAATTGTACCACTGTATGATGTACTCTGCATCGGACTATGAGAACATTATAGAAAAAGAGAATCTTTACATCCCTCACCTTATCTCAGTCGACGCCCAAAGACCTCAATCGACTCTTCGCTATCAGCCCAACATCCATCACTGCTCTATGAAGCTCATCCAGCCATGTCTGGCTCCCGACCTCCACAGGAACTGCAGCGTCCAAAGACGGTCCATCTATGGATAGCGAATGCTCTAATCCGAGATGATCCTCTAACACACAAACAATTTCTGCTCTGCTCCTTCCATTGACAAAGATAATATACACCAATTTCGGGTAACGCCGCTCGTAGTAGGCATTTAGATGCGCTAATCGCGCCAGTACCTTTGGAGGTGTCGGCGTGGCAGTGGGATGAGTGGCGCCTTGTTCCTTCGCGCTAAATGTCGACAAGTTTTTTGTTTCGCCGATGCGCGGATGTCCTGAAATGAACTGGGCTTGTAGGTCCTTATCCCAAGTTCTAACTTGGTTGATTGCCAGCTCTATCAATTGGGCATAAGACTCGAGCGGCGAAGGTAAATTCTGGAGTTTATCGTGAAGTTGTGGTACGAGCGTCTGGAATAGAACGGACGACGATTCGAGAAGAGAACCAAGCGTGTCAGCAAGAGGCTGGGCACTGGCAGAAGATCTGATCCTCTCCAGCGAAGAGAGTGGTTCCATGAAAAGAATATAGACGCGCAAGCACTGATCGTGATTCGGTCCGAATGTACCTCAGGAACAACCAACGACAACAAGTATCTGTTTAACTACAAATATAACTACACAATGAGAAGTACAAATCTTATAGTGACAAGCTACAGCAGTTCAGGGTGGAACCACAGGAATCTGCCCGTCGTGTCCATGGCCAGGGAAATGAGGTTTAGCGGGGGCATGGCCAATGGTATCAACAGTTGAAGTCGAATCAGAATTAACTTGTACTTCGTCCACCACAACCTCTGTTTCAACCTTTGACCCAGTGTCGAGGATCGTGTTGTTGAACAACGACCTTACGACAAAGTCAATCGGACGTGGGTCCTGTACAGTCGACAAAGCCGTGTTCGGAATGAACCTCACTAAAAAATCATGGACATGGGCATTTATTCAACGACGTTGAGTTAAACAGAGTGCTCACCGATCTTTTGAATACCTGGAATCAAGTAGAAAGCATTCGACGGAGATCCTGTATAAGCATCGATAAACATTCCAACGGTTCCAGCAGGGTGCTCAATCCACGTCCATGGCGCGACACCACCCTTGGCTTCCAAGACAAACTCGTAACTATAGCCTGTGTTGACAGTGATTTCCGGATCAACGAGAGTAACATTTCCAAGTGAGGTGGGTGTGAACTAGAACAAATTTTATCAGATGACATATACAAAAAGAAGATTGAAAAAGACTCACGTAGTTTTCGTTGGTCACTGTTCCTCCTCCCGGAACCTCCGCGGTCACATTGACCAACATCCACACATCCTGTACTCCTTTTCCAGGGGGCAATATAGTGTCTAGCCCGGTCTGGTTGAGTACCGCAGTAAAGTTCAAGCTGGGTACCGTGAATTTTACAGCGGGAAGCGCAAGAACAACTTTACCACTCCAATCATACCAAGTCATCTGCGCGGTGCCCTGGACATCACTTCCTAGTATATCACTCATTACAGAGACCTCTAGATTTTCTGCCTCCGGGATCCAGAAAGGATGAATCGTTATTGGTCGATAAGCTCTCTCCTCGGCGTATGCCAAAACCTTCCATCTTCCGTCAAACTCTATCGAGCTCCAGCTTGGAGCCTGCCAGATATCGTTCAGCTGCCATACGATTCCACCAAGGTTGTTTTCTGGTAGCCCTGCACCCCGACGGTAGAAGTTGATCTCAGACGCAATGGTCAGGGCTTGGAAGACCTGCGTGGTGTAGCACCAAGCTGCAAAGGTGGCGTTGTCCTGAGCGGAACCAGAGGTAATGGAGGAGTTGCTGCCCAAAAACGGAGGCACAGGTAACCATTGCTCAGCCGCGAGGGTCATTTCCGCTTGACCTTCGGGTGCATTGGGGTTAGGGAAAGCGAGGCTTCCAGCGGGGTTGTGGTGCTCTCTTGATACGACTACGGTTGAGTTAAAGGCAAAGTCTTCAGGAGAAAGGAGAGCTTGTTCCCAGGCGTAAATGGAAGGCATAGAATGGAATCTGTAGTACATATAGCCAGATTCGAACCATTACTAAACATGTCTTAAACAAGCGTATCCACATACCCAAATTCATTCACAAATCTGTGTAATGCGAAGAGTCAATCTTGGTGTTGAACTGTTCGAGAAATACTGCTTACCGTGCAATCGGGTAAGTCGAATAGTCAAATGCGTCAGTTGCAGTATAGTCGAACCTTTCCGAGTTGCCATAGATGTCTCCAGAAGTACCGTTATCGAATCTCAAAATGTATGGATCCAGGCTCAAGAATCCCTTCGTTGTCGAACAGTCAGTGTAAGGCACAGACCGAGATTCAGACGTTTCGAGGTCGTGAAGGAAGTCTTGGAACATCGTTACGAACTAGAATAGACGGAAGTCAATGTAGTTTCTTTGGCGAGAGGTTTACTGGAGAGCGTAAGTGTAAGTCACCTGATCGAGATAGATCGTTCCATTTGGCAAACTTTGGTTTGTACTAATCACAATCCCCTCAATTTCATTCCCGCCTGCCCATTGCGCCACACTCGGATGACGATTGAGTCTCCGTACGTTCTCGCGAATCTCTGGCTCGACGGATTCGAGAAAGAATGGGTTGATAGGAGAGAGCGCATCTGAGAACAGGAATTCGGACCAGGCAAGAATTCCGAGTTCATCACAGAGATCGTAGAACGCGTATACACCACCGGCAGTACCAGCATTGGAGGGCTGCAAAATGCCGCCTCCCCAAACGCGCACCATATTCTGCCCGCTCGTAACGGCACTTTGTAGCACCCACTGTACACGATCTGTGGTGATTCTGCTGTAGAACGGATCGAACGGGACCAGGTTCGATCCTTTGCTCCAAAACTCTTTGCCATTGACCTCGAAATGGTATTGGTCGCCTGGCGTTAGACCGCGCTCTGTGACGTCTGACTGAGGAACAGGAAGTTGGACGAGCCGTATAGTGCGGAAGCCCGTACGAGTGGTAAAGCTTACTTTGTGAGGTTCTGAAGTCGGAGATGAAGTGGGAAGGCTAAGAGTCGCAGTAAGGTTGTATAGTTGTGGTGTACCGAGGTTATGAGGATACCACCGCTGAGGCACCGCATCAGGTATTTGCCATTGGACAATGGCCCAAACAGTCTCGTTGGCATGCCCATTTAACGTAGGAATTGTAAAAGCTTCCGACGAGACGTCAAGCTCTGGGAGTGCAAGTTGGACAGTAGGCGCTTCAACAGAGGCTCCAGCGCGAATTGCAAGGCTGACGTTGACTACCCAGTCGGCAGATTGATCGGGTAAAACATTGAAAGATGAACCGAGCTTGTATATGTCTACAGCCACCTCCTCGATGAAGATGACGTCGGAGGTATTGGTAGACCCAGAAGGTGAGAGCGGTGGTGTAGACGAGAGAGTGATGGAAGAAGCATCCGACTCGTTTGCAAGGGTGACCAGATAAGCAGGTTTGTATATCCCTGTCGGAACGAAAGCTGGGCTCCAGTCCCACCCAAAGTCAATCTGCTGTTTACGAATGTAATGTCTGGCAGCAGGAACTTCGAAAACACCATTACCACCCGGAAAGAATTCGGCGTCAGGGCGAGAGCTGACGTTTAAGCCATACCAAAAAGCGGATTCGAATTCGACGGTCAGATTTCCTCCAGAAGCAGCAGCAGCAGGAATATGGGGTGTCAGGTCATAGACATACTGCCTGAACTGGTTATTGACCCAGGCAATAGGAATTCCGGCAAAGGTGATGTTTGCAATAGTGTCGAGGCCGTAAAACACTAGAAGAGTTTGATCCGAAGAGGCAGGTTGGATGGTATCAAAAAATTTAGACAAATCAGCTGTATAAGTCCAGTTGTCCATCCAAACCCATCGTTGTGTGAAATCATTGATTTCTAGCAGTGGCTCTGTGATAACTCCTGCTTTCAGTAAGTCGATATGCGCCTGTGAAGGGACAGTTCCTGGTACAACAATTGATCCATTTTCGTTTTTTAATGACCAAGAAAGCTCTGAAAGGTCAAAAATCGCGGCGAACGCGCAGTGGAAGAGGCTGAGGCCTAGCAGAAGAGCCCTAAGAAGAGCCATGAAAGAAAATTTAATTCTTGCCAGCTCATTTTATAGAGTTTTTCGACATTTACTTCACCTGACAACGCTTCGAGAAGAAGGAGAACGGTGATGACATCATGATCTGATCACATGGGATGTCAGGACGCGTCCGACGTTTATACAACAACTTCGGCGACTCGCAACATTCCTCACCATTCTATCTCACATGAAAACGGCAGAACCTGGGCTATACTGCTGGCTAACAGTGTTGCATACATTTGGGAGCACGAGTAAGAAAGAATCATATTATTACTAGAATACTTGACAATACTAAGTACAGCGGATTCTCGTCAAAAGTCAAGAGGTACACCGGGCTATAACAGGCTACGTTGGGCGTTCTGCTAATCAGCAGTTACGTGGCATGTGCCTAAGCCCATTTACCAAGAAGTGCCATTAACCCACAACCCAAGAGCATCGTACATACACACCGCGCCAGCCTTGTATTTGAGCTTTTTCGCATCTCGTCACTGAACAGGAACTCGTGTGCAAGCAACTCAACCATTCCTGTGTAGATCAAGATTCCCGCGCTCAGCGAGTCCATCACTCCACTGACTATCGAAGCCGTTGTGCTATCAGGGTTGTATGTCGTGCGTACGCCCAGCCCGGCAGCAATTCCAACGGGCGTGGTTATTCCGTACAACAAGGCACCATAGACGGATACATTTCGATACGCCTGAGGAAGATGTTTTTGCATGTAGGCCAGACGTGATCCAACTCCGAGGCCTTCAAATGTTTCTAACGGATACAAGAATCAAGACTTGCGTGTATAAAAAAGAGTAAGATCGTTGCTTACGATGGAAAACCAAAACCACAAAGAGGACCTTGAAGTCTGGATCGACAGCCAAAGTCAGTCCCACGAGGACACTAAAAGAACTCAGACATCGAAACTCCTTCATATATTAGGATCCTCACCTATGAAGAACAACACCAAATTCCAAAATAGCCACACCCAGGATTTGCGTCAAAGGAGAGTCCAGGACTGCATCATTGCCCCGACTGGTTTCCTTTAAATCAGACTCATCCTCTCGATTCAAAGAGCGAGAAGATCGAGACCCAGCACGAGCCTCTTCCATGACACGACTCAGGTCTCGAACATCTTTTTCGCCTTCGATATTGTCTTGAGCAAGTGTCTCGGGACCGGGGGCAGCATGGGCGCCAGCTTCATGCCCATGAGCATCTATAGGATCAGTCAGAATTTTTCTTCCTATCATTCATATCGAGGAACTGCCGTACCGTAGACAAACCCAAGTTTTTCCAACTTCGCGGTTCCCCACCGAAAAGCGATGAGCTCCACAATGAAGATGCCGAAAATGCTGAGCAGACACAAAGCGAGAGCGTATGGCTATATGATTCAAATATTTGTCAGTTCAATGTCTTTGGCGAATTGAAAGTGTACTAACATATCCTTGCCATGCATCAGAAAGGCAAGGACTACTCAACTCGTCGATGGCGGGTGAGAGAAGATGGATGAAAGCTGTCGCAATCTATGTATGTGGAATTTTTGAATAGATCATCAGTTCCTAAATCACCTCTTACGAGAATCGATACATACGATGACACCGGACCCAAACCATTTAGCAAACCTACACAAGACGATGATCATGAGCATCCATATGTCATGGAAGAAGAAACATGAATCCTACTCGAATATTCCATTCGGAACCTTCACATATTTCGAATACCTCATCGCAATTACCGGAAACAGAGATCCAAACATGGAACCGACGAGGATGATGAAGATCGATGCGATCCTCAGTCCAAAAAAAGTATCAGCGCCGCCGCCAGAGCCACAATCATCTGTGTCGTCTCGAATGGCGAGGGAGGCAGTACGGACGGTCATGATAGCGTAAGTCGTAAGGTGTTTGTTGTTGAAGGTACCAGAAGTCGGAGCTGCGGAGGGGGGGGAAACAGTAGAACTCGCAGAACTCAAGAGACGGAGCAAAACCGACAACTTCTCTGTTTGACAGTTGTCAAGTGTTTTATATGTAGATACCTTATGCCGCATACTGCCCCATGTCCGGGTGTTCTCCCAGTTCCAAAAACAAACAATGATGACTGGTGAGGTCCTCATTTTACATCTATGCACGATTTCATTGGCTAGTTAGATTTCAGCATGTTGTCGAAGCGCATTGAGTACCCTCACGATATGATGCGGCGGGTTTGCAAGGTTTGATTGCTGTACGATTGCGGTATGAAGGTTTGATTGCTAGATGTGCATAGGTACACAGATACAGAAACAAGGGTTCGTGCTCATTTAAAGATCCGTTTTTTCAATGATAACTAACTCATGTCAACAAGTACAGGCGGCAAAAAGAGACGAGGCTCTCTTCTTCAGGATCCCGACTTTTCAATCCTAAGGGGTTATGTACAGCAGTCGACCCATGTCACTAGTACATTTGGCAACCGAAAAAAGACGGGGCTCTTTCTGGCTCTTTTCACGGGAAGAACACCGGCAAAGCTATTGAAAGGAAGAAAATGAAATCTGCATAGTACCTTAAATTTACACATAGAAGATAGGGGTAACGTTCTAACTCCTTCATTTAAGCTCCAGTCATACAGTAGACCCTGATAGCCTATAGGCCAGATTGCTTCCTACGTCCATTCTTAAGTCTTTTTCTCATCGCTGTATTCTCATCGCTGTCATCTATCACAGAAGATGTATCCTTCTACCGCAACACTGCATAATTTATAACCACCGTGTTCATGCCTCTTCTGGATTCAGATAGTCCAACAATCCACGGGCCCAAACTGCAGTACGTGGTCGACTGCCACCTCGGATATCATTTTGAAGATGTAGGCTACTGCCCTGGCCCTGTAAAAAATCCTAATGGATAGATATCATTCAAATAGACTAGAAAGCTTGACTAGAACTCACAATTAGTAGTTAGATTGACATAGACGGGCGGGATCGTTTTGTAACCGTCATGGTAGAGAGGTATTAGTACTACTTCAGAGGTACCTGTCAAATTCACTAGATATACCACCTATGACTGAGTGTATAGTGCTAATTGTTATAGACAGTGGTGGAAGCAATGTTGAAAAAAACTTAGGACAGGAGTGTAAAATTCAGTCGTAGTATCCTCGGTATTATAGACCGTTTTTTTCTATGCACATTGACTAGGAAAGGCTGCCTGATTTGACTGAAGATGAAGCGGACATACTTCGCGATTTTGGCACCATGATGCCCAATGGCGGGAAGAGTCGATAGATGAAACACTGTCGTTCTTCCTAACACTACACGAGTGCAGGGAGCGACACCATAGCGCAGACTCGGGTACTCCTGAACAACACGAACGGTGGAAGACGAGAAGCTGCATCCAACAAGATAAAAAATGCTAACTTGAACCATTGAAAAATCATAACCCTGTCGAAATGCGCTTGGCGGGGTCTCTTATTTGAAGTACTAGTTTTGGAGATTAGCTCAATTTGTGCTGGCTAAAATCCTAGTACTAAGGCACGCATAAGCCCATTTAGCAGTCGATTGCCATTGTCAAGGGGAAGCCCAGGCTCAATTGAGATTTTGAGTATTCATGTGCTGAGGCAATCGCGATAGCAAGAGGTGAACTACATGAATTTGGCAGGTTTGTCTGCCGGTAAGAAAGGAAAGTATGTACCACTGTCTCGGACGGCACCTTGAAGGGTTCAAGATGAAACTCAGACTCCGTGACATACAATTGGCTCGTACCTCCTGTCACCTGGACTTGAGTAAAGACGATAGAAAATAAAGCAAAGGAGTCACTCGCGTTGGAGTTGAAGTGAGCTTGAGGATGAGGAGCGTGAAACTGGTTTTATTAATGACATAGCCTTGAGAAAGGATAACAGATCCATCGATATCGCTTCGTACTACCTCTTCGTAGATGATGATTAAGTTGTTGGAGATCACTTGAGAACAAATATGAATGATTTCAACGGCGTGAGTTGCAACTGTTCTTGTTTTCAGCCCGAATGACCTTACAAGGTTGGAGTAGCTCATTATGCCACGATCGGGTGGTGGTATACACGCTCAAATCCTTCTTTGGGTCCTTCCTAGTCTGCCATCTCACAACAATGACATTTAAGTACTACGTGAATACTGATGTCTAGAACCATTGAAACGGGGCCTTAGCTACCTCAACATTAAATCAACAAAGCAAGCGAAATATCATACCTGACATCCGAAAAATGCCGTCCTTTGAGACTATTATTTTCCATAGTCTACGTACTTCAATCTTCATCCTGATCACTGTCATCTATCATCGCCTTAGGAAGTGTTGAAGCTTGCCACCCTTTTACCATAACGAACATAGCATAAATGACAAACGCTGCGTCCGCGCCCCCTCGTGATTCAGGTAGCCCAACAATCCACGGCACAAGTTGCAGTATATCGAGTGCCACCGACACCATTTTGAAGATAGCTGCTATCCTGTACGTCCCGGCGAAAAATCCTGAAGAGTTATTTGAAAGAAGTTAGAAAAGACTGCCAGAGATGAAAAGTGGATCGACGATGCTCTGCTTCATGACCATGTCCTTGTAAAGCATTCTTGCTTCAAGGATGGAAGAATCGGGTTCTGGATGTAACGGATCGAGAATTTGAGGAACATGAGGAAGCATGAAATGATATGTCAAAAAAAGTCCTAGAACGATCTTCGAAAAGAACGGATTTATGAGCATTAACAAAAAATGGATTTACTCCAACTCACCGCTACACGGTATTTCCCCTGTACAAGACTCCTTTCTAGCCGTTCAGTAGCCCGCTCGCGATGATTAGGATGCATCCTTCGTATAGTAGGAAGAGTCCTTCTCAAAAATGTCTCTTCCGATCCCGAAGGCCATATCAACTCGATTCTCGCTACCGTCATTAGCATCCATATAGTTTGCAGTGGAAGAAATACGACGAAGATAAATCGCGAAATCCTGAGCAGCGAGCGCAAGCGCTGAGACCTTTGATTTCCTTGATAGGGTTTCCAGTGCCAATTATCGCTCGGGAGTAGCTGCCGGTATTCTGACCAGGCGGCTTGTCCATGAATGATGAATTCACAATCGACAACATTGGCCAAGGCAAGTAGAACCGTTCCTGGTTGAGAGATAAAAGTTGTACCGCTTCGGGTGTACCAGTACAGTGCATCGAATGCACCAGCTATAATTGAGAACGTCATGCTAATTACTAGGGTCACTATTATAACGGTGAGGGCGCCTTTAGGAAACTTACGATAAGGCTGTGAGAACCAGTCGTCGACCCGGATACGAGCTGCTTTCTCTATGTACACCGAAGAGACTGTCTGATTGGATAGAATGTATGAAATGGCTGAGCATCCGTGTGATATATCAAGTATAATAAATAGCACATACTTCGCTGCTCAATCCAGTCTTGAGTCTTTACTCGTTCATAATCACTTTCCGCACTAGGCCCGTTTTCAGGAATAGTAAATGAATGTAACGAATCTGCTATCGTTCTTTCCAACACGGAAACTCCCGAATACGTGAGGTGCCAGCTCATGTTCAACAACGCTAACGTTCAAAGATAAGTAACCGGAACTGATCACCACTAGACATGAACACGAACCGGAAGTATTAACAAAGATTACATTCGTGTTCCATGCATTCAATTTCGAACTGTTATTTGAAGTGATGTTGCATTTTAACTCTACTGGAAGAGGGGTAAAATCCTGGTATAATGCAATGCTATCAGATTCAATAGCTTTAAGACTTGTATATAATCGCACTTTAGGACCGAGACCATATTGACTGGCCTCCATATAAGGCGCATAAGCCCACTCAGTACGATTTAGGCCATTGTCGAGAGGAACTCCAAGTTCGAATAAAGTCTCGAGTATTCCGGTATTATAATAATCGCGACGGCAGGTTGTGACCCACATAGACCCAGGGTCTCCTTGGAAGAAACGCAAGCCCGGCTTGGGTGGCTCCTCGAATTTCCCGCACTTCAATGGACGTTCAACAGGGGAATCAGTCAAAGACTCGGACACACAGCATACTCATACCTCTTGGGCCTTGAGAGCGTCATGGGATTCATTGAACAAGGCAAAATTCATAATCTCGAACTCTTTGAGTATACGTATATGTGTGCTAAATTTCGGATGTCAGTCGATAACGAAGAATTGTTGGCACTAAAAAATGTGTACATACCGAGAAGTGACATACGGAATTGCAGAAAAGGGTGATAGGGATGTTGCAGAGGATTCACTCGCGTTAAGACAAGGATTAGGTGTCTCAAACAATCGAATTAACGGCATAACGAATGATAAGAGATCGGTGGCTTCATCTGTGATGGTTTTGTTCGAGGTCGTTAGTGAACCCATCGGGAAACTGTGAAGGGAATTAAGACCCAAAGGGGTGCCAGATCCTGACAAACTTACGGCCATGCACGCTTAGGAGTTATACCGTCTGCATGGATCCAGCTTGAGAAGGATCGAACGTGATTCAAAGGAGAAGGGTTTGTCGGTAGGATCGTAAAAGCAGCTTGCAACCCTTCCCCCTCCTCCCAATCTCGACTACATAAAATTATAAAGTAAACTTTGGAAGGGTACCTATCCTTCGAGCATACAAACTCACAAATATTCTGAAGGAACAGAGAAATTGATTGTAGAATGTTTGACATCCGAGATACGGAGTTGTCGAAAAGCAACATCAGAGTGAATGATCTTGAAGAGCCCATTATCAAAAGGCCATAGTTGTTTCCGGAACTCGGATTTAGAGAATAGAATGTCCCAATCATTGGAATAGCCGAGCCTGACTAACTCAAAAGGACCTCCGCCAGTGGGGAATGGGTGCGTAGTATGCCTTTTCAACGCGTCCTTCCCTAAGCGTTCCTTCCACTCCGTTTCTTCCTCCTTAGATGCCCGAGCCCAAATCGTCACGCCAATATCGAAGAGCTGATTCTCCCTTATGAGCGGCTGAACGACCTGACTCCGATCTATGATTGCCTCTAGGCTCTGATTTTGATACAGCGCTTGGTTGCGGTTCCACATCAACGACTTGGTCTCCAGTTTCACATGTGTGAGCATCTGCGAAAGGCTACGTGCAATGACTGACAATCCGACGAGAAACACTACGCGGGTGGTGAGGATATACAGCCATTTGGGAATCAGACGAAGCTGGACTTGATGCTTTTGGCGGATATGAACAGTATGGATTGGAGAAGAGGATCCGGGATCTTCGCTGGAGGACATGGAGTAGGAGAGAGAGAGAGGGAAGAACAGCCATTTAAATACTCAAGCGGTACCGTTGAAGCGGGAGCGTAATCAGCAGATAACCAGTGGAGAACTTTAGTCTATTGGAGTCAGTTGGACTGCTGAAGCGCTGATGCAGATGGGGGGGATCAGACCGTCTGGCGCTTATTGTCCACCACGCGCGGCACGTGTTCAATATATTATCGGGTAGCCTCAATTCAAAAATCCCTCACATTCGAACTCCTCCCCTTATGAACTGCATATGGACGCCGTAGAAAGAGAGAACTTGGACAGACAAAAACGCTGGCGAGCTTGCACCTGTATTCTCTATGACCTTCTCCTGATGCTGGAGGTCACCTTGTAGGGCGAAGGAGCAAAAGGTTGGAGAAGGAGCTTATGCAGTGGTATACCGAGGTGAGGGAGCACTGGTTATTGTTTAGAGAAACACGGAATTTTGGGATTGACAAGGCATGATGTACTTAATAGGAAGAGAATTCTCTACTGGTCGGAGAGTGGCTATCAAGAAGATCAAGGTCGGGCAGTTTAAGGATGGGCTGGATATGTCTGCGATCCGTGAAGTCAAGTATCTACGTGAACTGAAACATCGGAATGTTATTGAGGTGCGTTCTGGTAGTGCTCTTTTTGAATACCCGGTATAATAACTAATATCCTAAACTTATATTCAGCTATTGGACGTCTTCTCAAATAAAACAAACCTCAATCTCGTCTTGGAATTCCTTGATTCGGATTTAGAAATGATAATCAAAGACCGCTCACTTGTGTTTCTTCCTGCGGATATTAAGAGTTGGATGGCGATGACTTTCAGGGGACTGGAATTCTGCCACCGGAATTTCATCCTGCATAGGGTGTGTTTTATATCCCTTCCTTCCTCCTTCCTTCCTCCCTTCTTCCTTCCTTCCTTCCCCCCTCCTCCTCCTCATCATCATCATCATTCAACCGAAAACGGAACCTCCTCACTCACTCCTTACCCCGCACTCAAGGATCTCAAACCAAACAACCTCCTCATCGCCTCCGACGGCCACCTCAAAATCGCAGATTTCGGTCTCGCCCGCGATTTCGCCGACCCAGGTTTCAAAATGACTTGTCAAGTAATCACTCGGTAAGCGCACCTCTCGCAATCTCATTTGGGGATTACTTTATTCACTAATTGTGTACTAATAATAATAATAACCGTTTTCCTTTCCTTTTCTCCCTTTCCTTTCCTCTCTCCCAGATGGTACCGCCCCCCAGAACTGTTATTCGGAGCACGATACTACAGCTCCGCCGTCGATATATGGTCGGTTGGTTGTATATTCGCGGAACTCATGTTGCGCACGCCTTATCTCGCGGGAGAAAGCGATATGGATCAGCTGAAGACGATATTTCGGGCGTTGGGGACACCGACTGAGCAGGAGTGGCCGGTAATTTGATTTTGATTTTCTTTGTGGTTCCCTCCCTGGTTGTGCTAATGAAAAATTCCTTACCTTAACAGGGTCATACGAAACTACCAGACTACGTCCCGGTGGGGCAATTCCCCAAAACACCTCTACGAGATCTGTTCACGGCCGCGTCAACGGATACTTTGAATTTGTTAAGCAAATGTTTGTTGTATGAACCCCGGAAGCGGGTTTCTGCTGCAGAGGTGGGTTGAGAATTTCTTTGATTCGTTCCTATATTTTTCCTGGTTCTCACACATTTCCCTCATTTCCTACACCAAGGCTCTCCAACACCCCTACTTCTACGCCATCCCCCACCCTACCCATCCTTTGAAATTACCGAAATGCACGACACAGATGGCGCCGCGGCCTTTAGGCGAGGTCGATGGCAATGTTGATGTGGATATGACGGGTTCCGGTGGTACCTCTGGTGCAGGCGTCAAATCAGGTGCACCCAACAACACGAACAAAGGGAGGCTGAAACGCAAGATAACCTCACCGATGGAGGGGGCAGACGGGGATATGAGTGCGCGGACGAGGTCGATTGCGCGGAAGTTGGATTTTACGAAGGAGAGGTATGTGAAGAGTCCGTAGTTTGTGGTTTGAGAGTCTGTGGTTTGTGGTTTGAGAGTCCGTAGTCCGTGGTTCGAGGGCACTGGGAGGGTTTGGGGGGTTCGTGGGCCCTGGGAAGCCCTGGGAGTGGTAGGGGAGATTTTTTAAAATGATACTCATAATGGAAGGGATCATGAATTGTGTTTATGGGCTTTGGAATTGTCGCGTCTTCGGCTCTTTGTTCATGTACATATGTGTACATCATAGTTCGTGCTACTTGCATGCAATACGCAATATGCGACATGCAATATAAATCAAGCTTGAAACCTTGAAACCCTTGAAACCTCAGAAACCTTCAACCTTGAACCTTCAACCCGAAATTCCCTCCTTCCCTCCTTCCCTCCTTCCCTCCTTCTCTCCTTCCCCCCTCCCTCCTCTCCCCCTCCTTCCCTGTTGGGGCACGAAATTCAAACTTACATAAATTTTCTTCGGCATCGACATCGTGTGGTTATAGGTACAGTAATTGTTCTCCTGTCTTCCTGACTGTACTTGCAAGGTCTTGGTATATACTGTGTAACACTTATGCATGGGAGGATCTGGAGGTGTTTGGGCTGAGTGATATACGTTACGCGGTTGTTTGGGCTAAACGCTAGACGCTATGCAGTACCTTATACTACAAATGCAATTGCAAATGCAAATGCAAAACGTACGAACGTATGAACGTATGAACTTCAATGATTTGGATTTTGGATCGAATAACTTGGAGTTGGAAATTGAGTTTGAACTGGAGAATGATAAACGCTAGGCAGTTGTTTGGGCTAGACGCTAGATGCTATGCAGTACATACTACAAACGCAATTGCAAATGCAAAACGTACGAACGTATGAACGTATGAACTTCAATGATTTGGATTTTGGATCGAGTAACTTGGAGATTGAGTTTGAATTGGAGAATTGATTGATTGATTAAAGAAAAGAAAAAAACGATCCTTGGGACTTTGATGTAAGGAATGCGGATGATGTAAAGGATGCGGAGGATGTGAAGGATGCGGAGGATGTGAAGGATGCGGAGGATGTAAAGGAAACAGGAGAAAGGAAACCAGAACAGCAACACAAGACACAAGCCAGAAGGAGGAAGGAAGACAAAAAACAGAAGGAGGAAGGAAGACAAAAAACAGAAGGAAGAAGGAAGACAGAAAAAAAGAAAAACAGAAAACAGAAGAAAAAAAAGAAAAAAAAACAAACACAGGCTTATCGTATTCGATTATTCGATTGGTTGGTTGAAAAAAAGGAAAAAAAGAACTATCAGCTATGAACTATCAACTGTCTGGTACTACCCATTCACTAAGGCGTCCCACCCTCCCCCATCCACACCACCCACTACTAAGGCTTCACTCCCTCACCCATCCACACCACCCACTACTAAGGCTTCGCACCATCACACGCCGGACACCTCCCCACCTCCATCCCATTCATACACATACACGCCGGACACTCCCATTTGCCTTCCGGTTTCTTCATCCCTACTGCTTCCCAGTTGAAGCTTTGCACTGGCGCTGGCGCTGGTGCGGGTGCGGGGGGTGCTTTTGCTGCGGGGGGTGCTGTTGTTTGTGCTTGTGCTTGGGCAGGTGTTTGTGCTGTTGCTTGTGCTGCGGGGGGTGTTTGTGCTTGTGCTTGTGCAGAAAAGGCAGAGGGTCCAGGCTTCGCACCATCACACGCCACACACCTCCCCGCAGCCGGCTTATTCTGCACCGCACACGAGGGACACACCCATTGGGAGGCGTCCGGGGGGTGGAGGCCTGCTGCGGCCCAGTCGAAGGATGGGGCTAGGGATTTTTGGGATTTTGGGGGAGGTTGGGGATGCGGTGCATCGCGTTTCGAGGAAGAGGGGAGGGAAGAGGTGGAGGAAGAGGAAGAGGTGGAAGCGACCGGGACCGGGTCGGAATCGAAATCAAAGTGGGGAAGGTCGGAGAGAGGGATTTGGTTGGCTGTTTGTTTCGCTTTGGTACTTCCACTTCCCCTACTTCCACTACTTCCACTTCCACTGGCACTTGCACTACTTCCACTTCCACTTCCACCAAATCCACTAGTACTTCCACCAAATCCACTAGTACTTCCACTAATACCACTACTAATACCACTTCCCCCTTCGATCTTCGCCAACAACCCACCCGCACCCTCAGTCTTGTCGATATTAACACCAACACCAACACCAAGATCGACATCGACATCGAAAGAAAACACCGGAAGATCAGCGACGGGGAGGGATTGCACGAGGTGTTTGGGGTCGGATACAACGGATATCGGTGCAGGCACAAATGTCCGTGCAGGAGCAGGTGCAGATACAGGCGAAGGAGTAGGAGCAGACGAAGGAGCTGGTTTCGAAACGAAATTCGTGAACGCACTGGGAGCTGTTACCGCCGTACTCGTCGTACTCGTAGTGCTCTTAGACGTCTTACTCGAATCCGCACCGAACACAGAACCAGCACCCGCATCCGCACCTCCACGAGGGTCACCAAAAACTCCCTCACCTCTCTCAGAAACTCCCAAACCTCCTTCAAAACCACCCTGCGAACCACCCTCAAAACCTCCCGAAGTCAAAGGAGGAATCACAGTCGGAGGAGGCTGGTGCGCCTCCGAGTCCGGTTTATAGCTGAACCGGAGCTTGGACGGTTCTCGGGGGATGGTGGGGTTTTTTTGGGTGGGTCCTGTGATTCCACCGTGGATGCTGAGGTTGGTGCTTGGGTTGGTGGTGGGGTTGGTGGTGGTGCGGGGGTTAGAAGAGGAAGAGGTAGAGGGAGAAAAGGCAGGGAAAGCAGAGGAGGATGGTTTATCCTTTACTTCATTTCTACTGGTAACATCTCCACTCATCTCATCGTCCTCATCCTCGTCCCCAACCTCCTCCACCACCGACGCACCGACCGCAGCGAATGGGGAGGAGGAAGGGTTCTTAGTATTGGTATTGCTACTACTGCTACTACTGCTGTGTCCGTGTCCGTTTGGTACAGCAGGAGTGTAAGTGCGTGTTGGGTGTGTTGGGTGTGTTGGGTGTGAAGCTTTCGATTTCTTATTCGAGCGGGATTGTTCGTCGGGGTCGTCTTCTGTGTCTTCTCTTTCTCTTTCCTTTCCTCGTTCTCCTTGTCGTTCACCTCCTCGTTCACCTTCCTTAGTCTCAGTCCGAGTCTGAGTCTGAATCTGAGTCGGAGTCGGAGTCGGAGTCTGCTCTCCCCTCGCCTTCGGGTTCGCATTCGGAGACGGCGACCGCATCGACTTTCCACTACTCCCACCATTCCCACCGTTCAAACCGTTCCCACCGTTCAAACCGTTCCCACCGTTCAACCCGTTCGCACCGTTCAACCCGTGAGGAAGCCCCTTCCCGATCCCGAGGTTGACGGGGGCTCTGGAGCGTTTGCTGCCCTGGATAGAGATGTATGGTTAGTTTTGATGAGTGAAGGGGAGGGGATAAAGGGAATGGGGTAGGGGGAAGGGGATAAAGGGAGGGAGTTGGGTGAAAGGGGAAGGGAAGGGAAGGGGAAAGGGAAGGGGGAATGGAGGGAGGGGGAAGGGAATGGGGGAAGGGGGTGAAAGGGAAGGGGATTTGGAAGAAAGATAATTTATATGAAGGAAAGGGAACAAAGGTCGTTTCACATAAAACGGAATAGATCATAAAACGGAAGGGAATAATATATAGATGAAAGAAAACTCAAAACCAAAACCAAAACCAAAAACCAAAAACCGAAACGAAAAACCAAAAACCAAAAGAAACCCAAAAACCCAAAACCCAAAACTCACCTTAGGCAACGTAGCCTCGATAACAGCCTGTGCGGAGTATTTCTCTAATGATACATCTCTTTCTTTCTCTCTTTCCCTCACACTCTCTCTTTCCTTCTCTTTTTCTTTTTCGTCTTGTTTTTGTTTCTCGTTCTCGAAATCCTGGATTTTCTCTTTCACCGTCCCGTTTCCGTTTCCCTTCCCGTTCCCAGCCCCATTTCCAATTCCGTTTCCCTTCCCAATCCCATTCCCATTCTCCACTTTATTCGTATCCCTTCCTTCTTCTTCTCCTTCTCCATCTCCGTCTTTCTTCCCCCTACTTTCCCTACTCCCCTTTCCCATCCTTCTCGACCCCTCTCTCGCACCCACCCCCTCCTTCACCCTCGCACCATCTCTCAAGGACCTCGACCCCTCTCTCAACCTCCCAGACCTCCGCGCACCCACCGCAGCACCCACCGGACTCGCCGCCTGATACGGGTTCCTCACATCCAGGTTCCGCACGGGCGTGACTTCCTTGATGAGGGTGCTCATGTAGGTTGCTGTTTGGGTTGGGGTGGGTGGTTTGGTTTGAGTGGTTTGAGTGGTTTGAGTGGGAGTGGGGGGGAGAGTGAGGGTGGGATTAGAGGGGGAAGTGGATTTAGGGGGTTTTGGGGGGTTGGTGAGGGAGAGGGAATGGGAAAGGGAATTGGGGGAATGGGAAAGGAGGGAATGAGGTTCGTCCTCGGACGACCTCGAACTGGGACTGGGAGTAGGAGACGAGGGCTGACCCCATGCTTGACGCAGCGGGGAAGGAACTACGGGGGTGGTGGGTTTTAACGGGGTTCGGAGGACTGATGTGTTCCGAGTTGTGTTCCGAGTTGTGTTCCTTGTCGTCGAAGTCGTCGTTGTTGTTGTTGTTGTAGCCGTAGTTTTCCCATTCCCCGCACCCCTCGAAGCGGGTGGAGTAGGACTCAACACCGGGATCCTCACCGCCTCCGCTGCACGCGTGGGGGAGGGTTCTGGGGCAGGGGAGCGTCCCACTGTTCCACTACCTGTTCCACCACTGGGAGTTCCACCACTGAGAGTCCCACTAGGTCGATACCCCACCGCCGTCTCCCCGACTCTGCGTCTTTTCGTATCAGCCTTCCCTTCCCCACCCTTCCCAACACCCTTCATCCCACTCCCCTCTCCACCCTTCATCTCACCCCTAATCCCACTGATCCCACTCCGCGCCTCACCCTCCCGTATCACCAACCGCCCATTCGCATTCGCACTCGCACTCGCCGCCCGCGGTGTCGGTCCAAACGCCGGAGAGTGGTATCGGTTGCGCGAGCGACGGGGGGGTTGGGATTGGGAGGTATTCTGAGAGTTACTCTGAGAGTTACTATGAGAGTTATTCTGAGAGAGGGGTTGGGAGTTATTCTGAGAGTTATTCTGAGAGTAGGGAGAGCGGGAAGAGCGGGAAGTAGAAGTAGTAGGGTGGGGATAAGACTGTTTAGCAGCGCGCGCGCTCCCACCGCCTTCCCAGCGATATATCCCGTTGGGGTTGTGTTTTAGGAGTTTGGGGGTGCTTGGAATTGGGGAGGGGGTGGGGTTGTTGGAGTTGGAGTTGTTGGGGGAGAAGGCGTTGTTGGGGTGAAGGAAGGGGTTGGAGTTGTTGGAGTTGAGGAAAGGGGAAGGGGAAGGAGAAGGGAGGTGGTACGAAGGGGAGAAGGAGAATGGGATGGTGTTGATTTTCGTATTCGTGTTCGTGTTGGTGGTGGTGGTGGTGGTGGGTGTACGAAACAAAGGAGACGTTCCTCTCATCGGTGTTGAGTGATAATTGTTGGTAGTGTTGTTGGAAAACCGAAACGTCTCGTGTTCTTCCACTACAAGCAAATAAGAACAAGTCAGTATTCATTTCGTATCATTTCGTATCACTCCCTCCTCCTCACTCCTCCAGTTCACTTTCAATCCAAAAAACCACAAAAACCAAAAACCAAACCAAAAAACAAAAAAACCCAACTCACCCGGTGTACTCCCCTTAATAATCATAATCATCTCCTCCGCCTCCGACGTCGTGAGCGGCTCGTCCCGCGGGCGCTCGTTGATGTATTTGGAGAGGTACGCGAGGCCTTGGGTGGTTGAGGTTTGGTGCTGGGTGGATGGGGATGTGGATTGGTGCTGGGAGGATGAGGATGAGGATGTGGAGGAGGTTGGGGGGTGTTGTTGGTCTCCCCTTGGAGTGGGAGTGAGGCGGAAGGGAGCGGCGTTGGGTGATGACACAGATGTCACAGATGTCACAGAGTTGTGAGAGTGTGGTGGAAGGGGTGGGGGTGGGGGTGTACCCCGAGAAAACGAAAACGGCGAAACAGCTGGAGGTGGGGTGGGGGTTGTGAGGAGGGAGGTGGTGATCTGTTAATGGGGTCAGATCGTGAAGGGAAAGGGAAAGGTGAATAGTTTGGTCTGGGGGGTAGGACGGAGAGACGGAGTAGACGAATAGAGCAATGGAAATGAAGGAATAAAATAAGATAAGAAGTAGATAATCACCTGATGCCCTCTCGCAGCCAACGAGTGCGCAGCCGTCGTCGTCGTTCCTGCTCCGTCTATTTTTATACCCACTTCTTCTTCTCTTTCCACATCTTCTCCTTCACTACCTCCTTCGCTTCCTGCTCCTTCGTTTTCACCTTCTCCATCTTCACCTTCTCCAAGTCCACTACCTCTTCCTCCTCGCCGTTGAGATTTTTGGCCTTGTTGGCCTTGTTGGGAGGGTTGTGAGGGGGATTGGCCTTGCGGAGGCTGCGCATACCGCCCCCGCAGCGGATTGAGGTAGTTGAGGATGCCGGAGAGGGACCAGGACTATATTTGATGTATGAGTGAAAAAAGTAAGCCGAACGTTAGAAAAACATGATGTATGAGTGAAAAAACAGAACGTTAGAAAAATAGACGAAAGATCAAATGGAGATTATTTTGTTGGGTAGTGAGGGAGGGAGGGAGGGAGGGATAGGGAATGTTGGAGGAAACGACGAAACGACGAAGGTGAATAAGAGCGAGGAAGAGGACGAAGGAACAACGACGAAGAACAGGAACAGTAACAAGCGAAACCCTCACTCACCGATGAACTCCCTTTCTCACCTCCTCCTCCTCCATTCCTACTACTCTTATTGGTCTTGGGCACAGCACGCGCATACGGCGACGCGACCGCCGAACGCGCAGCGGAGCGACTGCCCCGGCGAGCGGGTCCACTCATCGTTGGGTTCCGGTACGGTACGGTAGGGGATTGGATAGGATAGGATTGGATTGGATTGGATTGGATTGGTGTCCTGGGTGTGGTGTTATGTTGAGTGTGAGAGGTCTAGTGAGGAGTGAGGAGTGAGAGAGGCCTTGTTTTGAAGATTGAGGTGGAGGGCTTGAAGCCTCGAAGACCCGGTGCGAGGTGCGACGTGAGTGAAGAGTCGGTGTGAGAGTGATGCGGAGGATACACACAAAAAGAACAAGAACAAGAACAAGAACAAGAACCACCACAAGGAGCGCCAAAAAAAAAAAACGTCAGCCGGGGAGGTTTCGCCGGCCCTTAATTATAATTATATAAGGCCATGTGGTTGGGTGACTGGTGACTGGTCACATGTGATTATAGGTGGTTACATGTGGTTATCTGTGGTTATAGGTAGTCACACTTGGTGACGAGTGACGAGCGTCACATTACTCTTTCATCTTTCATCTTTCTCGAGGTCCTTCGAGTCTCTCATACCTCCTGCAAGCTCTCAACTCAACTCACAACTTCCAAATCCCAGCCTCTAGCTACTCACAACACCCAACTCGCAACTCAACTCAACTCACCAACAAACCATGCCCGAAAAAGTCCTCAACACACCATACCCCGTGATCGACATCGACCCGCACTTTACGCGCGTTGTGCGGTATTTCCGGGCGAGCGACTATGCGACGTGGGGCGCGACGACGGTGGGTGTTCCAGGCGCTTTGTTGGTTTGGGGTGAGTGGTTTATGTTATACGTTGAATTAGTATCCCACCCTCTCTCATACCTCCATCCACATCCTCTCTCATAGAAATCCTCGACCCCAACGGCCTCAAAATCAACCGCATCACCCTCTCCCCAGGCGAAAAACTCCCCGCCGGGCGTATCGCACTAGGCAACGCCATCCAGATCGTCACCCGCAGAATGGTGGCTGGGATGCGCGTGGCGGCGTTCTTAGGCGCGTGTGGCGGGTTTTTGTTGGCGTATCAGAATTCTAGTAGTATGTGATGTGTGGAGTTGTTTTGTTTTGTTTTGTCTAACCTCCCCTCTCCCTTCCTCCTCCCCCACCTCTCCCCCACCCCCTCTCCTCTCCCCCACTCCCACTCCCACCCACCCCCCACACAACAACAGTGCGTTTCCTCGGCTTCACCGAAAACGCGCGCGAAGCCCAGATGGATCTTATCGAGCTCTCCCAGCGCGCGAGGGAGGGCAAACCCCTCTACGGAGAATCCCACCAGAGCCCCTGGGTACAGGGCGCGGCACATAGGAATTCGGTTTTTTCGATGTTGAAGTTTTGTGAGTGGGTTTTCTTTTGTTTGTTTGTTTTTGGGGGGTTTTTGGGGGGCTTTTCTTGGGGGTTTTTGGGGGTTTTGGGTTCGCTGTTGCGGCTGTTACGACTGTGTCCACTGTTTACCGTCGTTCGTGTGCTTTGCTTTACTTTGGCGTATTGTGTTGTTCTGGTGGTGTGTCGGAGATAAACTGATACTGACAATTGGTTGGTTGGTTGGTTGGTTGTTGATCTATGAATTAGCTGCGTTCCCGATGTGCGTATAATCAATCAATGACTATTCTAACTGGATTCTCATAAACCCCTCCTCCCTTGCTTCTCCCTTCTCCCCTCCCCTCCCCTCCCCACTTTCCTCATTCTTCCCTTATCCCACTCCTCATCCCTCACACAGGTTCAACTTCGTCAACCACCCCCATCACGGCGTCGACACGTCGAAATACGGCGTCGGAGTCGGGGCGAAGGAGGTGGAGGTTGGGGATGCGAAGGAGGCGGAGGTGTAGATTGATGGTGGGGGAAGAAGAGGAGGAGGAAGAGGAGGAGGAATGGATTGAGAATGGGTTGAGAAGGGAGAATGGAGAATGGGAAGAAGAATAGTCGTCGTTATCGTTATCGGAAGAATGAATCGACGGGGAGCGGATTGAGAATGGATCGATAGAATATGAAGAAGAAGGATGGAACGATGGAATAGTACAAGCTGGCGGTGGTAGCGGTGGTGGTATAAAGTGGAACGGTAGCAGTAACGGTGGTGACGAAGGCCCAATGGATAACACACTGCACACTGCACGTATAACTACACTCTACAAATACGAAAGCAGAGCCAAACTTTTCTCTCTCTCTATATATATATATATATATATATACTCTCCTCTCCTCTTTCTAAAACCTCTCCTCGTTCTAAAACCTCGCTCTAGAACCCTCTCACCGAGCTTCTCCGCAAGCACGACGCTGGGTAATAATTAATTAAATAAACGCGTTACTTAAACGTTACTTAAACGTTACTTACTTGGACGTTTCGAAAATCCAGACCATCCAAACCCAACCACAAACTATGTTGTGTGAACGTCGGTGCTGTGTGAACGTCGGTCTCCGGCAGGTCGCTCCAACAACAAAATCACAATATCAACCCAAACCCAAACCCCCCTTCCCCCCTCTCCAAAAAAGAAAAATTAAAAAATTGAAAAATTAAAAAAAAGGACACAAGAAAAAAAGTACATAAGAAAAAAGGACATAAGAAAAAAAGTACATAACAAAGAAAGTACATAAGAAAAAAAGATACATCATCATAAGAAAAAAGAGATACATAAGAAGGCATCACAAGGTCTAACCAGGACTCGAACCTGGGTTACGGGAAGGTGATAATTTAGAGAAGACTTGGTGGAATTTCAATCAAAATCCCGTGTGATAACCTCTACACTATTAGACCATGTATATATGACAATGGGTGAGGGGGGTGTAGAGGTATGAATAGGTGTGGGTGTGGGTGGGTGAATGGGTGTGGGTGTGTGGATGTGGGTGATATAAGGGTATGAGGGGTGTGTGTGGTTTACAAAGGGTGTATCAGGGCTGTGTATCCTACCTGGCAGGCCATATCCTGAAGGGACATCATCATTATTGATATAAACCTTAGTGTTTAGTCTTCCCTTAATGCTTAGTCTTCTCAGAATTGACTTGTCTTTCCAGCACAATAATGGGCAGTGGGTGATATAAAAGGTGATAAATGACTAAATGTTGAATGTGTTACATGTTAAATATTCAAACCACTGATATTTAAACCACTGACATTCTGTCACTCCATGGCTCCATGGCTCTGGGGGTGGGTCTGTGTAGCTCTGTGTGGTATACACATGTACATCTCTTTTTACACACACCTACATGTACACAGTCTCACACACAAATCTCACTCCACCTCCTTCTCCAACTTTAACTCCTTCTCCTTCTCCTTCTCCTTCTCCTTCTCCTTCTCCTTCTCCTTCTCCTTCTCCTTCTCCTTCTCCTTCTCCTTCTCCTTCTCCTTCTCCTTCTCCTTCTCCTTCTCCTTCTCCTTCTCCTTCTCCTTCTCCTTCTCCTTCTCCTTCTCCAACCCCAACTTCTACTCCCACCCCCAACTTCTACTCCCACCTGAAAATAACCCTCAGCAGCAATTTCTTAACACCAATCTATGTAGAGCAAGTTTTCCTGTTAACTTGGCAAGGGTTTTTTTGTTAAGGCAAGGGTTTTCTGTTAACTTGGCAAGGGTTTTCAAATTTTTTTGACTCTAGGTTGTTTGTTCTTATTGGCTTGGAAGTGGAGTCTAGTGGAGTGGTGTTCAGGCAGATAAGGATCCTTGTTCTGGTGAATGTCCAGGAGGAATTGGAGCAGCTTGGTGAAGAAGAGAAGAGTGACTTGTTAAGCAACCTTGGTAAAGCCACAAAGAACTCAAGCTACATAATATCCTTAGCACTGCGCTAGCACGGCAAATCCCCGACTCTGAACGTCTCATTTGCTTTCACAATAATATCTATTAATCTGTACGTCTATCATGAATTTCAAATTACTGTATGTTATGGCTACTTGAGTATATTCCTGACTACTTAAGCAGAATCGGTGTGTAGTTTCTGAATAACTTGAACACCCAAGCCAGGTGCTTTAGTGTGTATGTAGAGCTGTTGAAAATATATCTCCTCTCTTCTATGTATACAAGGCAGTACATGCTGCAATGCAGCAGAATATTATCTTCTTCAACTATGCTTGCCATGCCCGATATTATCTCTCTGGATCATCTCTATATCATCAATGCCAACAACCTCTGGAAATAAAAATATAAAAATGCTTCCCCTCTGACAACAGCAAAGTCATCTGCAAAGCCTGCCTTTTCGGCTAATTCTCCGAGAGCAGCTGAGAGCACTTCCCAGCAGCCAAAGCACCCAGAGCAAGTTTAAAACTTTGCTCTTGGTGCTTTGGGTGCTGAAGAGCACTCTCCAGCCAGTACCCTTGCTCTGGCAAACATACAGGTTTTGCATATGAAACTTATTACTGGAAATTGCATCATTGTATATGATGTTGATCTCAAGGATGGAAAGTACAGTGTAAACTGTGACATCTGTGGCCAGCCAATTGTTGTTGGAAAAGGTGAAGAGTTAACTATTGGGTACAGAGATAGGTATGGCATTCCAATGTCTGATGACCTTCAAGAAGAGATTTTGGCATGGAAATGGGCTCTTTCAGTTGGAGAAAGTAGTGGCCATGTATCAAATGTAGATAGCAGGATAGATCACTACACAAGACATGGCGCTGATTGGCAACATGGCAATATGGTTACTAAAGCTGTTGCCAAACAACCTCCAATGGGTATTGTGATCTCAGCACTTTTATCCTGCGGTGCCCCCTGACCCAAACACTGTCCTTCACATGTGTGCTTCAGATGTTATGACATACCAACGGAAATTGCCATTTGTCAAGAGTACAAAAGTTGGTGGGAGGTTATTTTCTGGAGTATGTTGCACATTATATTTCTGACAAAGTCACTAATCATGTGCATTCAGATCTCTATTTTAAACAGGCTTTGCCTTCAGATCTTGCTGACAGGTTCAGTGTGTTATTCTTTTGTGATTCATTTCACTTCAACTAACTCCAATATCCACTTGAAAATGTGCATGCAACACACTAACAACTTTAAAACACACTGATTATGTACCTCTCAATATAAACAAACACCTTCTGTTCCAACCACAAAACTTCTACTTGCAAAACACAATAATGCCTGAGCCTCAATGACACCATCCACTGCAACATTATGTTTAACCTGCCTGGTATTATTGATCAACTTCCTTGTTGACATTGGGAGCAACTCTGTACATACAGCAATACACAGCTGCTTTGACCTCCCATTCTCTAGTACGTATATGCCGAGATTTATAAACTGTACAGTTCTAGGTATATCACACATCGCGAGTATCCAAACTCCCTCAGTTGTTTTGCTATCAACTGAGGTGAGCTCAATAATGACTACATTGGAATATCATATACTAACATACCATAGTTCAACCTTCATTAACAGGTACATACTTAATGCAGTTGTTTTGCTATCAACTGAGTTTAACCTTCATTAACAGTTGAAAGCTTGCTCAAATGAATCGAACAATTATTGATATGTTCTGGTAACAACCAGAGAGGGAGGGACATTCCCACTTAAAGATATAACAGTATCAGACAATGACTGCATACTCACGAAGCAAATATCTAATGACCAGCTATGCAACAAAACCTATTATACTGACCTCACAACATACTATCACACTGAAACAGCAAACATCAATGTGGATGAAAAGCGGGTACTACTATAAATCCTGAGAACTGTCGAAAAAATAATATACATTGTATGCTATCTTCGGCCATATAAATAAACAAAACAGGTAATGTTACTTCTATTGGTAACGAGCTTGCCTTGTTTTTGTGTGAAAGAGAAAGGAAGGAATCTAATGGGCACTCCAACCAACCAATCTAATACACAATATGCGAGTTCACTGCTATCAAATTTATTTAATAGCAAGGGGTAGCGTTGGCAAAGGTTCCGCAAAGCTTTGATCAATCAATTTGAATCATTCTAAGGATTCGATATATTCCTTTGATCAAGGTAGATTCAGCACAATTTGTGCTTTGGTTTGTATTGATATGGGTATATCTGTTACGATCACTTCTTTTTCATCTTGACACCTGGTGACACCCATTACTAGAACCGGTTGCTGACAATATCAAGAATTGGGGGTTTGAATCGAAGTAAATTAAAACCGAAACACACAGACCCCTCGGAGGGCTAGAACTATGTGCTGGCACAACCACACAGTGTGATTTGCCCTTAAGACCAACAACTGATCCTAAGTTCGAAGAATACCCAACAACTGGATATACTTCTCGCAGTCACGAGGAGCAGAACACAACGTTCCTATACTCACAAGTGCCGGGCCCGAATGGCTGCTAGCGAAGAGGTTTCAGTCTGGCGGGAGTGTGTCTTTCCTTTTTACGGATTAGCACTGCAACGTTGACACGCCAAAATTTTGGCTAGACGTCTATGCTGTGAATTGTGACATTTTCACGTATAGATTTGTATCAAGAGGACTGTAATTGAGACCCAGATTGACAGTCAAAGTCGATACTGAATCAGTCTAATAAGTTGAAGGGACCATATACCCATACTACCACAAGTTGGTTAGTTTACCCATCCCCGATACTACCTACGGATAGCAGTCTACCTGTTCGTCAAGCAGGATTATACCAGACTCAGACTACATCCGAAGGATGACCATTCACATATGACATACCAAGGGTATTCTTATTGGACCTTACACTGGCAGGAGTTTGGAAGAACTTACTCAAGTGACCATGAACCGAGGATTGACTCGAAATGACTTTCTAGAACTCAGGAATTATCAAATACTCCTTCTAGAACGAGATCATGCATTAATCTAAAAGACTGCGATTTAGTCTAATAGACCAATCAAGTTGCATGGTTGAGTAAAATGACTAGAAGAACGATCGAAGTACTGCGAGGCTCCGAAGGCATATCAAATGAATGTCAAAGAGTCCTGACGTAGAAAATATTGAAGAATACAATTAAATGAATACTATGCGTAACTCCCTTGATAGAGTATAGGCACAATGGGTGTCTATTGAAAGAGAGAAGCAATTAGTTTAATCCAGATGAATCAGATTGATAGGATTAGGATCGAGGAGAGCTGATTTGCCTCCGGACGAGGTGACAAACGATCGAAGTAAGTGTTGAACAGCAATGACAGTTGAACACCATTCGAGTCATCCTCCAAAAACAATTAAATTAAATGAATATTGAAGTACCTACCTATGTTTGGAGGTATACTAGAATCTTGGAACCAATATGGACCAAATAAGGACATGTAGATTCAAATTAAATGGTATCTGACTGAGTGTAGAAGTTTCCTTGCGGTTCCGAACGTTTATTGTATTAAATTAATTGTACTATGCGACTCTATATTCTGTATGTATAAATAGCGATCCAATGTATCTGGAATACAAGTGATTTTGGGACAACGTTGCAGTGCTAATCCGTAAAAAGGAAAGACACACTCCCGCCAGACTGAAACCTCTTCGCTAGCAGCCATTCGGGCCCGGCACTTGTGAGTATAGGAACATTGTGTTCTGCTCCTTGTGACTGCGAGAAGTATATCCAGTTGTTGGATATTCTTCGAACTTAGGATCAGTCGTTGGTCTTAAGGGCAAATCACACTGTGTGGTTGTGCCAGCACATAGTTCTAGCCCTCCGTAGGGGTCTGTGTGTTTCGGTTTTAATTTACTTTGATTCAAACCCCCAATTCTTGATATACCCAAATCAATACAAACCACAGCACAAATCGTGTTGAATCTACCTTGATCAAAGGAATATATCAAATCCTTAGAACAATTCAAATTGAT